TGGTCAACGCCTTAGTCCTTGCTGAACTCTGCACCAGAATCTGAAGAGTGAGATACCCAGAGGTAGGAGGAGACTGCCCTATCCTCAAGAAATTCACACTCTGAGAACTACCACCACTCTCCATTCTGGAGGGAAGCTCTGATTTTAAGTAACCTTCTATAAACATGCCACAAAACTGAAGAACAAATGATGCAAGTTAATGTTGTCCTTGAAGTTTGAAGGGACAGACACAGGAGAGGAAAGACAACTCAAAGGAAGATCTAAGCTTATTGGTGGACTCAGCTTATTAGTAACCTCATCATGGGGCCACCAGGCTCGATGCTGAGTACAGTCGCCAGTGTGCCAGTGTTAGGAAAGCCTAGTGCTGCTGAGAGGCACGGAGTGGCTGTCCCTCCCTAGAGACCCAAGGTGCTCTGAGCAGCCTGGAAACAGCAAGCTGAGCTCTCCCCCAACTTCCTCCTCTCTAGTCTCTACCCTTGGTGTACCCAACCTATCAGATGGAGGGTGCCACCCTCTGCTGTGCCTCAAACTTTCCTTTCCTACCAAGCACAAGCTCCTGGGGTCTAAGACCAGGCTTCCTTCACACCACAGTGGTAGAATGCAACAAATACTTGTCAGGACTGCAGGATCCTAAGTGTTGACTATTACAGAAACATTTCCCCAAAACTGCAAACACATGTCAGAACTACCCTCATTCTTCTTTGCCCTAAGGCTTGTAAATTTGACACCACCCGTCTCTTTTTTGGCTCATGCCCAAAGACTGTTGCCATATCTACCTCAGACTGGGGACTCATCTTTGTTCAGAAGTAAAAGCTCCATCCACTAGTGAAAACACTCAGTGTATCTGGCCCAGGTGTCTCCAAGGAGCAGAAGCAATGTGTCCGTCGTCCCCTCCCCCCACCCCGCCACCAATATTGGGCCAGCCCATTGGTAAGAATCTTTTCCCCTATCTCCTAACAGATTCAGATTAATGATTGCTCATTCCTAATTGTCAAATTTCTTTTCCTTCATCCTGTGTCTAATCACCAGTGACAGAAACCATTACGCAAATGAGAGCAGACGACTTCCCCCAACTGTTCACATTGGTAAAAACCTTGTAATTTAGAGCTCTGATTTGTAGGGGAAGCTGGTCTCCCCCAGGCATCCTAGGCATCTGCTCAACTGATGCCCAGAACAGCCCCTCCTCCACCCCTGGACCGCCACCCCCCAACAAATATTTGACTTTACAAAGTAACAGTGTCTTCTGTACCTGGATGTGAAAATAGAAGCTTGCAACTTAGTTATCTCTGAACAGGCCCAAGTTCCCACCTTGTCTTGGCACATCCACCTTCCATGCTGCCAGCCAGGATATTAAGCAAGTATGCTAGCAGCAGTTTTTCCTGTCACAAGCCTCACCCTTACCCTTAGGTAAGCAAAGGAAGGAACCAACAACTCTCACCCCACGGAAGTGGCAGAATAATGAGGACTTCTGCCAGGCGTGGTGGCATACACCTGTGATCCTAGCATGACAGGCTGTGACATGGTTGCCTTGAGGCCAGCCTAGGCTACAAAATGAGTTCAATGTCAGCCTGCATTACACTGGGAGAACCTGTCTTAAAAAGGATTTAGCAATCTTAGCAACTAAAGCTTCAATTCCCTGATGTGGAAGCACCCCAGGAGGGCTACAGGACCTATTAAAGGGCACACAGTAATGCAACAGGACCTATAGCTCAGTTCTGAAACTGCTCTCAATATTTTTAACTCTTTTTTTTGGGGGGGGGGGGATGTGTACCGGGGATCAAACTCATGAACTCACACTTGCAAGTGCTTGTGCTGCTGAGCTACATCCCCAACCCCAGTATCCTTAACTCCTAACATGGCTCCCCAAGCAGAGTCCCCAGATGTCTTTAGCTGTACTAGAGGAGCTTTCACTGGAGCTGGACTTCTGTATCCTCCTGGGCTGTTCCCTGCAGATACCATCCCACGGATATGGCCCTACGAGAGGACCTGTGCTACAAGGCAGGGAGGGAAGAGAACCAACAGTTTGGTTGAGAGGAAGCAGCAGGGGATTTGCAGTCAAACAGCACTAGTCTGAACCTTGACTAACCCTAATCACTTATTCTCTGGAAGCCCATGTCTTCATCTGCTACATAGGAACATCTACCTTGCAAGTGCCTACAACTCAGGGTGGCTAGTTATTACCCAAGGACTAGGACCAATCCTGAGGTTTCCTCCTCCCTTCCTTTCCTTAGCTACAGCAACCTGGAAGGACCAACCAAGTGGCACCCAACTCCCTACTGCAGGGCACCGGCATCTTGGGAGGGCTGGGCCAGGAGTGCAGATCAGTTCCTGAGCATGAAAGTATCAGCTCCCCCCAAGGGCCACTGGGCCAAGTTCGGCCTCTATCTGCCTTACTCTCTTTGCTGTGCTTCTCTTTCCTGAAAGAGATGGAGGTACAGAGTGCACTGTAATCACGTTTCCCGGCATTGGCTGTATTTCAAAGAGCTATACTTGAGAAGGTACCATTTCTGCACAGCCACACTGCACCAGAGAACCCCAGAATGGAGTACTGAACACCCCTCCCCAAAATACACATACAGGTGCACACATGCATACACACAAATCTCAGTCCATCAGGGCACTGTAAACTGAGCTTTGGGGGTGAGAGCCACAGCTCAGATACTGGAAGTAAACCTTTGGTCAAAAAATAAAATACGGGTAGAAGTAAAATCAAAGACTTCAACTTCCTTTCCAGGGAGGAAAAGATGATGGAGGGACTGGAGGTGAGTAGATGCATGGCCACCACTGCCCACTTCCAAGGGCCTACTCTTACTGACCAGATGTGAATAATTGCCCTCTTTGTTGTGCAAAAACCATCTGCCCAGCTCTAAGCTACAGCCCCAAGACAGGTTCCCATAAGCATTAACAGAAGAGCAAGTTCTGCTTCCCTGTTTTGCCACTGCCCTGCCAGAGTGTCATATAATGCTATTGCAGATTCTAGCAGAGGTGCTGGCTATAGCCTCTACCAGAGGCAGGGCTGTATCTTTGCCCTCACCCTGAGGTGGATGAACTGTAGTGAGTTAGCTGCCTAAGCCCGATCCCATGTCATCTACTCAGTCAGGAAGCTCAACAGGAGTAGAGGATATGGCCCAGACAGGAGGGCACAGGGCCTAGAGGCTCTAGCCAGTCGGCCTCAGGCAGGTTGCACTGAGACCTGACCAACATACCATGGCTAAAATCAGAGTTAAAAAGCTATAGGCTAAGTCAGGCAGTACCTCCAGGGGTCACACTGCAGTGTAACATTGGACAAGGCAAGCAGTGGAGAACCCTGGCAAGCAGGGAGGCTGGCCAATGTGAACACACACATAAAAGTGTACACATGTACAGTGGCTCACACTCCGAGAGCCTAGAGAAGCCACAGCTAGGAGATCTCCCTTGATACCTAGACATGGGCAAGGGCTTGTACTGAAAGAGAAAAGCTGCATGTTTTCCTAATTTGGAACATATGCACAACCTTGGTTCATATGCTCCAAGGTTCCTCTCTATGTATGGCTTGAGCTTGTAGGTCCCAGATGGAACGGTATCTTCTCTTCTCCCACTGGAAAGCCATTGAGGCTCTCCAAGGCAAGCCTCTGGAACCTGGCTCTGCAGAATCTGGCAGAGGGTACACTGACCTAACGGTCAGACTTGCTGTGGCTCTGCAGCCTAACATGTAGTGGGGATCCAAGAACATCTCCTTTCTCTCAGGCTGAGGCACTGAGGCTGCAGGAGACAGGGCAAATAGCCAGAAGTGATACCCTGGCCCAGAGGGAAGGAACAAGGAACAGATAGCTATGTGTGTGCACGCACACACAACCCGAAGTTGACAATACTAACACACACAGATATGATGACAACCAGAAGCTGGGACTCCACACACTGAATGCAGGACTTGAGGGGACAGCGAGGAAAGGTGCTGGGGCTCTAGAGGCAAAGGTGAGAAGTCCCTCCGAATGGGAGTGGAGTGCAATCACCCTGCCTTGCCCCAAACACCTGGCTCCGGGGTCATGGCAAGAGTCCAGTCCATTAAGTGCAGCGTGCAATACTAGTGCTTGGAGTCTCCTGTCCTCATCAACGAAGCCGTGTGGACGGGACAGCAGTCACCTGGCAGGAGGCCTTGACCCCTGGCAGGCTAGTTGTATCGGCCCTTGATCATTGTGTTCAACAAGGGCCCCACCTGTAAAGAGACATGAGGAGCCAGTCAGAACTCCTGCTCCCTGTCCTACAATTGGACCCGATGTACCTAGACACATTCAATGTCCAGCCAAAGACGGAGACAAAGCTCTCATTCAATCTTGTGAACCCTCTAATCAATGTTCTTCCTGAAGGTCAATCCAGTATTCTGGAGCATGGCCCTTCCTTGCGGGGGTGAGGATGGTGGTTTCATCTTGTACTATCTTCCCTTTCACAATACCCTCTCTGAGCAAGCAGCAGCAAAAACATAGGCCAGTGGAGTTCGTAAGTTTTCACACACGGGTGCCTGCATGCTTCTTGATGTCCCCAAGGAATGTCGAACACTTTTACAGCCTCAACAAAAGGCCTTCTGCAATTGGGCCTGGTGCCATCTCTCAATCTCAGAGGCACCTGTGGCTACTGAGGCTCCTGAGGAGGAAGCAAGAGCATTTCAAATACACATATCTCCCATTTACCCAATGGACCAGTGATGCACCTGTGTGAAAAGCAGGTCTCAACGTGACCGAGCGCAGCCCTGGTCCAGTTGGGAGAGAGAATATAAAGAGATGCTTTACTGAACACTTCCCATTCCAAAAGAATCCCCTTGGGGATTCCCAGCTGGCACATAAGGCTCGAGGGGAATATTACTACTAGCTCGGAACAGATTATAATTGATCCGCCAGTCAAATCCAGCTCTTACCAGAAAACAAGAATTTTTAAAAACATACCCATAACCTCTGTGGAGAGAGAGGACATAGCAGACATCGAGACGAAGAAGGTAAGGAGGTGCCGCACTAGCTCTGACTTACCTCCTGTGGGTTCCCCAAGGCCTCTCCAAGCATCTTCTCAATGTTCCTCATTATGGCCACTTTCTGATGAGCTTTGAGAGGATATTCAATTCTCTTAGGAGTGGGAGCCCCCTACAAAGAAAGCAGAAGGTCAGAAAATGTTTTCAGCAGCGGTGTTCAGTGTCAGCTGACTGCTCCTAGTACCATTCTCCTTTCTAAGAAACTGATTCAATCTTCTTCTTTTTCATCTTTTCCCAAAGACCCTGGATCACTTCTAGGGATGGCCAACTACCCCAAGCCAGTCAAAATCATTCATTACATTTACCTCACCCCAGCCATAGTTTTATCAAAAAACTGAGAAAACATGTTCACCTTATACCAGAAATTCACAGTGATGGTAATCCCCCCATTCAGTAATGACTCTATATGATGCCACCTGCAAAGAAACAAACAGACCCTGGTTACTTTTCCCAGGGAGGAACAGGAAACTAAGCAGAGTATAAGAGAAGAGAGAGACAGAATAAAGACAGTATCGCTCTGCTCATCCTGCAGAACACACTGGGCTACTGGCAGCAGCGTTCAGTTGTCAAATCCCAAAGGATATGGACAGTCTCCAGGATCTCAAGGGATTTGAGGAACTGTCCTCCTCTCTTAAGAGACGGGGTTATCATCTCCCCCATGGTCAGTATGCTGACATTTGAATATTAACCTTACTGCACATATTATCGATCTTGTCTCAACTCAGAAAACACACAAATAAAGCTTTCCAGGGAATGAGAAAGTTAGCTCCCGGAGGGCCCAACCCATAGCCTCTTCCTCACCAGTACATTGGGATGTAAAGAACATCACCAGGGCCAACCACTGTTTCATAACCAACCACATTTTGGAAATTGGGAAATCTCTCGTAGTCAGGATTGTCAAAGTCCACCTAAGAGATTCAAGAAAAACAAAAAAGGTCAATCACCAGACTGTCATTAAAACAACCATGTACTATTACACCTTGATATGTTAAGTATCAAACTGGAAACATCTTTAGCTAGGCAGCAGAAAATGCAATGCATGTTTTGCTCTTAGAGAACAACGTAAGGCAGTCCAGGCTTGAGTGTTACATGAGTAAGAGTCCAAGGCTTCAGTGTGTGTGGTATCTCAAGACTACTCAATGACCTAAGGATGAGAAACCAGAACTCATCCATCTCCTAAACCTTCAGAAACTTTCCTCCCACAACAAATTCTAACCAACAGATTCCTACAAAGAGGGAGAGGATGTCTGTTGCTACTCATGCAGTCAACCAAGCCTCACTTAAATCCAGGAAATACGAGTAACATACTTTATTTACCTTTCCCTATATTAAAAAAAAAAAAAAAAACAGAATACATGACAACAAAAAGCAATGATTAAATCCAATGGAGACATATATACTCTGTTCACAAGCTTGTAAGCGAACCAACCAGAGTAACCAGAGCCCACCAGCATCAGTGACAGCCTGCTCCTGAGAAGAGCTCTATGGGCTGTTTCATGGTGACCACTTGAGGAGCCTGGAATATGTTGAGTGACTCTGGGTTTGCCTATAAAGTAACCAACCAATCTGTAATCCAAACCTCGCCTACCACCACAGGGAAGAGGAACACTGCTGCGGCTACTGCTTTCAAGGCATCCCTAGAATTTGGAGCTCCACGCCCTCTTTTGGTCACACGAACTCACCTGGCTCTGTCTGTCACATGGGTGATGGACAGGGTATGGATAGAGGCACTCAAACTGATCTGGTGGGAATAAGATGCATCGCTTATGGCCTTTTATCTGAGCAAAGAAGTTCTGTTGTTCATCATAGTGAGCAGGTGTCACATTTCCTATAGGAAAAAAGACATTTCTTTATCCAAAGTAGTGCATCTGCTGCACAGGTTCAACAGCCCTGGAGAGGAAACCCAGCATGCCTTCCCAGCTAAAGGTTTCAAGTCAAATTTTACGCAGAATCAGAGATACTGCAGTTACAACTCTTAGCAAATTAAACATTACTTGTTTTTGGAAACAAGGTCTTGCTGTGTAGTTCAGGCTGGCCTTAAACTCATTACTTAGCCTAGGACAGCCTTGAACTCACAGTGATCCTCCAGTCTCAGCCTCCTGAGTGCTGGGATTACAGACATGCACCACCACACCAGGCTTATGGGTTACATTTTTATGGGCAGTAATTATAGTAACTTTCATTGTAAAGGGTTCATGACCAATTAGCAAAGTACTGTAGACTTTCCTAAATGATGGCTGCTGTCCTTCCTGGAATCAAGGGCACACAAAACAGATTCAAGTCTCACAGGAGAAGATACTGTGTATATTTGTACTCTCCTTGACTGTGGCAACAATTCAAGGGAAGCAAGTCAGAAATGACTGAAATGACTACTACCAACAATGAACACATGATCTTCTGGAAGAGTTAGTCATTTTAAGTTGAGTGAATATGTCCTTGTGTTTTATAGTTCTCCCAGAGCCCAAGATTTTCAACCTGTGTTCCCATTTCACCGCACCTGTGAGACACAGAACTTCTCATAGCAGCATGAGACTCACTGGGGTTGCTGGCTCTCTCCAGGGAGAAGCATAAAGCACAAAGGGAGTATTATAAAATTTAAACAACCTTAACACATTATTTAAATGTTACCTTCCACAGTTCTGCCCTAAGGTATGTTCTACCTCATTTCTGTGTAACAGGCCACATCTATGCCCTCTGCACACTTCTGTAGGGCATGGAGTTTAGGAAACCTTCCCCAGTTCACTTGGGTGTGCCAAGAAAGCCACCTTCTTACGTGCTGAGTACATGGGTGCCTTCAAAAGACAGTTGTTCTTTATCTCTAGCTGAAGGATCCATCTCCCTGCTACAGGAAAAGAAAGCAATGGAGAAAGACTCAAGGAAACCAGAAGTGGCTCCTTCCTGGCGGGCCAATCAACCATGGGCTTCAAAGGACAGGTGTTAACTCCTAAGCTACACTGCTGGAAAACTTTATTAATCTACAACAAAGGATCCAAACCTGGAGAAAGGGTAACTGAAGAGACTCAGAACTCAGGAGTGAATGACAATGAACAATCACTCTCCTTCCTTGTTCAACAAAGTCTATTCACGATTTACTAAGCACCAACTGGGAGCCCGCCATGAGCTAATGCTAGAAATAAAATAAGACAATGACCCTCCCCATTAGTAATTCTCCTTCTCCTAATGGAATTAAAAAACTTTTTCTTCTTGCTCAAAAGTAGACAAACAAAACCCAGAAGATCATATTGATATATTTGCTTGTGTATACATAACATTTATTAGCAAAAAAAAATAAGCAGTAAATGCAGCCCCTTGAAAGAAGGGAACCAGGAGATTGGGAGATACAGAGGTGGAAGAGACACAGCCACATACCTATTTACACTTTTTTAATTTTGTGCCCCATAAATATATTACCCATTTAAAAAATAAGGTTGAATCTGTAAGTTTTGCCCTTTTTTTTTTTTACTGAGATGCAAATCTTCTGGATACAGACAGATCCAATGGACAGCCGGGGCATTTCAGAGGGGTCCCCAACATTTCAATATATGCCCTCACACAGCAGCTGAGAAGGGGAACAGGGAACTTTTTTTAGAGTGCATGAAACCAGTGGAACACACATTATCTCATTTCATCCTCACAGTTATCTGTGAGATATTATTGTGTCTCTTCTGCAGATGAGGAAGCTGACACTTAAAAAAACCCAGCGATTTACTCAGAGTCATGGAGCTAACTACTGATAGAGACAAAACTGGAAATCAATTTTGTATGATTCCAAGCCATGCTGCTTTCTGAAAGAGTTCTTACCTTCCATGCCAATGAGCAGCAGGTTAGAGGTTAGCTGTCCCCAGCCGCGCTTTCCCTGTTGCTTATTAATCCAGTTCCAGTTAAAACCCAAAAAGTCCATGACAATTTTCCTGCCCACGGTGTCATTGAGAGTTTGCTGTAGATACAACCTACATTCCCCAAGAAGAAAATTCCATCAATGCATGCACACAGCCCCTGACCTGTGTTCCTCATATCTGGAAATACAAACTCAAATCCACTTCAGCATCTCCCATAGAAAATAGCTATGGTCATGTAAATCTATAACCAACAAGAATTCTCACAGAACTGAGTTTTTCTTTCTTGAGACAGGGTCACAATGTGATGCCCAGGCTAGTGTTGAACTTCTACCTTGTCCTTCCAAGGAGCTGAGACCACAGTGGTACACTTCCACACCCAACTCAGAACTGAATTCTTTTTCTCCCCATTTTTGAGACAAGTCTCACTATGTAATTCAGGTTGGCCTCCTGCCCCTGGCTCCAGAGTGCTGAGAATACAGGCATGCACCACTCCATCCAGCTGAGAACTAAAGTCTTATCTCTTCTTCCCTGAACTCTATTCAACACTAAACTTTTAAAGAAGAGATTCTTATCCTTCTGGGTCATAGAATAAACCCCTTAAGAATCCAAAATACCTCTTAAAAGTGTACATACATACTGAATTTCTACACAATTTTAGTTTCCTGGAAGACTATTCACCAAAAGCCTAGAAAGGTAAATTAGCCAGATTCTCAAGGCCTAACATACCTCCTTTGGCCCTTGATAGCCACTCTCATAGACTGTAACATTGTTCACCTGCCAAAAGCTGGTCTATCCCCAGAGAACCTATTCTTTCATCCCTGCTTAAAGCCAGGCTTATTTCACTTACTTTGGCCAATGAAATACCCACTGACGTGAATTGTGTTTGAACGGTTTGTTTTCACTTTCTGTGGTGCTGGTAACTGGACCTATGTTAGGCACGTATACTACTACTGGGTCACATCCCCAGCCATTTTAATTTTTTATTTTGAGACAGAGTCTCACTAAACTGCCCAGGCTGGCCTTGAATTCGCAGGCTTTTAGTTTCAGACTCCCCAAGTACGTGGGATCACAAGTGCAGGCCGCTATGCCTACCTTTAATTTTAAGGAACAGTCCACACTCCCCATCTTTCTCCCTGCCACAACAAAAACAAAGTTGCAGATAGTAGCTACTAGAGTACAGGGTGGAACCCAAAAAGAAAAAGAGGACATGATCAGTGATGAACTTATAGTGACAGTGAGTAATAAGCCTTCATTTTTTGGGCCAATGAGTACTTGCTTGAAGCCTCATTTATCTTAACTGGTACAGGTATAGCAATCTACCTATAGCAGTCTTCGACACCAAAAGACACCTCGTTAGGTGCACGCCCCAGGACCCTAACATACCTGAGGAAGGTCACAAATTAATTAAGGGACAGGAAAACCCAGATATACTTAATTAATCCCTGCAAGAGACATCAGTAAGGGAGCAAACTTGAACAAGAGACTCAAATAGCCCTATCTTAGTCTAAGAACCCTACTTCAACAGGCTCAATGGCATTTCACTGCCCAAAATGGTAACAGTTAAGGTAATATTACTAGAAATGGTGATTAAATTGGAAACACTAGCTACTAGGAACCCTCAAGCCTCCAATGCAACAATTGGGATTCTCCCTAGACATTGGTAACATACATATTTATGTAACCGTTTTGAATCAAGAACATTCCCCAAACATGAATATGAAGTACTCAGTGAAAGAAAGTCCTCAGAGACAACATTACAGTGTGAGACTGAATGCAGTCTGGGACCTACACAAGGGCCGCCCAGGAAAAAGCATTCTCCCAAATGTACCTTGTGTTTGCTATCCCTGGTACATCACAGAACATCAGCTGTCCCACTTTCAACCTAAGCTGATCTGATCTTCTCTAGGCTTACAACATACCAGTATTCTCTAACCCAAATCACAACTATACAGCTTCTCAATCGAAACTGCCCCCACTCACCATGATACTCCAGGACAAAGGCTGTAAACTGGCAATCTTAGAGCTAGATACAGTGACAGGCATTTACTGTTTGGTTTCCTAACTCTTTTTTAAAAAAAATGCCTGAGCTGGGCAAGGTGACACACACCTGTGATCTCAGAACCTGGAAGCTGAGGTAGGAGGATACCCAAAGTTCGAGGGCGGCCTGAACTACACAGTAAGTAAGATCCTGTCTCAAACCCCTTCCCCAATGTGAAATACACAGCAGCTCACATATAAGTCAAGAGATTTTTAATTAATTCCTCATCTTGAGCTTCTTTTGGAAAATCAAAATGTCCAGTAACTATTGACTGCCATCTAAAATGGAATAAGCAGACTCAGCCCCTTAGAGAAGAACAGACAATTTCCTCAGCAGGAATTCAGAAATGCACAATACTAATCCTGCTCAACCAACTCTGCCCGAACCTTAAAAATGGATGCCCTAAATCCAATGAAAAGCCAAGGTCTTGGCACTTACCTGTCTTCCCCTCCTCGCTGCTGTATATCCTGCAGTTTCTCGACAAACTCGTGAAATTTCATTTCCTCTCTGTTGGACCTCGGCTTAAAGTTCTGGAAATTTGCCATTTTTTTCTCATCATAGTACAAGAACTTGTGAGTGCTGGCACTGTACACAGAGAAGTCTCCATTGCCAATATTCTCTTGAAGATATTCAAGGTCCCATTTCAGGGCAGGATACACAAGATTTGTGTCGGTTAGCACCACAGGCTCCTAAGCGAAAACATCAGGTGAAAAAAAAAAAAATCAAAGGACACAATCCCAAGAAACTGGGTTCTTCTCTCAGGGCTCCAACTATTTCCCAACTTCAAAACACTCTTCCCCGTCCCGCAGCGCAGAGCCCTCAGATCCCATTTCTCCTCCCCTTCCCCCACTTCCCCCTCCCCCCTCCCCCGCCCTCCGACCTCTCCCCAACCCAGTCCCTCCCCCGCCCGCACGGCCCCGCCCCCACCTCATTCTCGATGAGCTCCTCCGCCCGGGGATCGCTCTGGCTCAGACGTGGGATGGGGCGCGTCTGGAAGGTATAACTGCGCAGCTGGGACTCATCCCAGCCGGGGCCTAGCGCTTCGGCCGCCTCCCGGGGTTCTCCAGTGCTGGAGGTCGCAGCCGACGCCGCCGTCGTCGCCATCTCCGCCGCTGTGGACAGTCCCTCCGGAAGCAGGAGCCCCGCCCATTCCGGGCAAAAGCACAACGGCAACCATAGAGAGGAGCCGGAAGAGAGCGGTGCGGACACTTTCAAGTGTCGGGCCGAGGGTTGGGCGCGCCTCCTACTGGTGGCATACAGCGCTACGTCTTAGGCTACCTCCACTGGGCGGAACTGGGGCGGGACTTAAGTCCCTCCTGCTAAACCGACGTACCCTTAGTGCTCCAGGTACCCAGGCAAAGACAGGAGGCAAAGGAGGCAAGTCTAGCCAAGGGTTATACTTCTCGCCCTTGGAAGGGGAGAGAAGCAAAAGCGACTCCCCTAAGGAAGTCAAAGGAAAAGCAGTTATCACACTGATAGATGCTAAACAAAAGGAGCTTTGAAGGCCTAGGCAAAAGGTCTAAGGCAAGTTATTATTATTTTTTTGTTTTTGTATTTTTACCAGTACCAGGGATCGAACTGATGACCACACGCTTGCAAGGCAAGCACTTATGCCGCTGAGCTAAATCCCCAGCCCTGATCTAGGGCTAGTTAAATTCTTTTAAAATCAAAGGAAGAGCTGGGCGCGATGGAGCACCTATCATCTCAGCAGGCCGTGACAGGACATTAAATAAAATGTAAAATCGGGGCGGTATTCTTATTTTGTTTTATTTCGTTTTGTTTTTAGTGTCGTTTGATTTTTCTGTCTGGCACCATCTCCCCGGCTCGTATATATTCTTTCCATGATACTAGTATGGGCATTCTACACTTTCAAACAATCTTGATTATAACAGACTATTAATGCCTCTGTTGGTTATTTACACAGTTCCTATGGCTGGCTGTGAAAGGTAGAATTGTAAAATAGACCTCAAGTTTTGTACTCCATGGTGTAGATACCCTGTGTAAGTCTCTCCCCTTAAATAAGAGCAGGACTTGTGAATGTGATAGAATAGCACTCCTGCAGTTAAGAGTACATTACATCAGGGGCTGGGGATTTAGCTCAGCGGCATAAGCACCTGCCTTGGAAGCAGGCAGTCGTGAGTTCGATCCTGGTACCGATAAAAACGAAAAAGACACACACACAAAAAGAGTACATTACATCAAAAAAATGTAATTAAGATCTCAAATCAGTTAACTGAGTTAACAAGAGTAGTTCTTACTGCTTTAAGCCCTTTAAATCTCAGTGCAGACATCTGATACATAACTGGAAGATTTGAAGCCAGGACACAGGGCACATTCTGTCCTGTTTGCCTTGAAGGAGCCAACGGCCACATGGCAGGGACTGACAGGTGCTATGAGGGCTGATACAGACTCAGGTGACAGCCACCAAGCATGTAAAGAGCTTAGTCCTCCAAATGCAAGTAACCAAATTCAGACAATGACCACTGAGCACAGAAAGGCTGAGTTTCAGGTGCCAAGACAGCACCTTGATTTTAGCCTAGTAGTGTAACTGTGTAACCTGGGTCTGTGTCTCACTAAGTCAAAGCATGAAGTTGAGGATGAAAGAGGTAGACAGGAGCAGTGTTTATTAAGAAGAGCGGAGTAGCCCAAAAGTAAGTTCCTTTTCTCATTGCTAGGACAAAACACTAGGTACCACCAAGTTAAAGGAGGAAAGGTTTATTTAACTCAGTTTAAGAGGTTTCAGTTCATAGTCTTCTGGTTCCACAGTAAGCTGGTGTGGAGGAGGGGTTGCAGAGGAGAAATAGTCTAGGGCAAAGCAGGCAGGAGGCAACAAAGCAGCAGCAGCAGCAGCAGTAACAAGCCTACTTTTCCTTTCTCCCTTTATTTTCCGTCTGGGCTGTAAATCTGTTGGTTGGTGCCACCCACACCCAAGGCAGAGTTTCCACTATCCTTAATCCACATCTGTCTTAGTTACTTTTTACTTGTTGCTGAGACAAAATGCCTGAAGCCCAAGTTGGTAAAGGAAAGGTTTACTTCTTACAGTTTTTGGAGGTTTTAGTCCACACTCAGTTGGCTCCAAGGCAGGTGGGCATGGCTGGGCCACCATTCATGGCGGCTTCCAAACAGCAAACAGGAACTGGCAAAGAGCAAGACACACCTTTTTCCTGCCATTACATCACATTCTGGCTCCACCCCTATGTGGATGTAGCGCTGACACCATAAATCCAAGCACTAAACAATAAACCAATCACAAATGCACAATGCAAACTCATGAGGCCTGGGGACGCAGACATAAACCATGACAACATCCTTAATCCCACATCCACACACCCTAATCCAGCCAACTCCCACCTATGACCACATAAGGTTTTGGGGGAACAACTAGATATAAATCATAACAGTTGCCATGGGGACTCTTCATCTGGGAATTTTTAATGCCAAAAAGTAACCAGGACTGAGAGTCTGAGTCATACTAAGGTCAACCTATAGGACTAAAATAAGCTTATTTAAACTACAGATGGGCCTATGAGCAGTTGAGGCAGGTAGCAAATAGATATCTGCATGTGCCTTTGGGCCTCTATCCTACCCAAGTGGTTTATTAAAAGAATAAAATGAGAAGGAAAAATCATTTTCCAGACGTAGGAGCAAAAGTTGTTATCCATCACCTCGCTTGCTATGTTTCTGGACTTAATTGTTCACGCGGTTATGTTAATTCTTGACCTCCGGCTCCTGCTTATCTGACCAAGGCCTGGTTATCCTGACTCTGTTTTAGACCCAGTGTCTCTGTAACTGCTTGTTGTCTACCTAACTTGACTGTTTATAATAGTGGTATCCTGGCCAAGTATGGTGGTGCACACTTGTAATTCCAGGACTTGGGGGCCTGAGATAAAAGGATCACAGGGTTCAAGGCCAGACTGGGAGACATAGTGAGACCCTGTCTCAAAAATCAAAAAACAAAGAAAGAGAGAGAGAGAGAAACAAAAAAAGAAAGAAAGAAAGGATAATTGGTATTGTTTCTGCTGCTAAATTTATGGCATATTGAATTTTTAAATTTGTTATGCAGCAATAGAAACCAATACACTGGCATAACTATATAATTATGCTAAATAGTAGTTATGATATATCTGATAACAATTATCTCTATAAAAAGGATGACAATTAAGACCTGTTTTATCTGCAATGTTTGGATTTTTACAAGAATATATAAATTTGCCAGGTGTGGTGTACACACCTGTAATCCAGTACTCAGGAGGCTGAGGTAGGAGGGTTACTGTGGGTCAACATGGCTACAAAATGAGTTCAAGACTAGCTTGAAACATATAATGAAACCCTGCATCAAAAAAGAATATGTAAACTTATAATTTTGAGAATTAAAAATAAATTAGACATAAAAGACTCAAATCACTAAAATAAGGAATTGGCTGGGTGTGGTTAATCCCAGCATTCAGAAAACTGAGGTGGAATCACTGAGAGTTTGAGGCCAGCCTGGGGTACAAAGTGAGTTCGAGGGCAGCCTGATCTGCATAGCAAAATTCTGTCTCAGAAAGATAAAGCTAGACTAAACTAAAATAAAGAAGGAAGACAATATCACCAATGTTACAGAAATAAAAGGCAATATATAAGGAAATACTATAAACAATTGTATGGCAATAAATTAGAGAACCCAGATGGAATGGAGAACTTTCTAGAAAGAAACAAACTATCATAACAGATTCAAGAAGAAACAGAGAAATCTGAATAGACCTATAATAAGGTACCATCAAGAATCAAAAAACATCCAAGTTGGATGATAGATCAAGGTACATATAAATGTAATAAAAGTCTCAGATGACATTAGAAAGGGAATTTTCAGGTTCTTCCTAGTATACCCCAAATGTTCAAGTTAGAACAGATTCATTTTTACTCTTCCTAATAAAATTATGTTTTTGTTTTTATTTATTTGGTGTTTTGAGACAAGCTCTCACTATGTAATTCAGGCTGGCCTTGAACTCAGTTTGTAGTCTAGGCTGGCCTTGAACTTGCAGCAATCCTGCCTCAGCTTTCTCAGTGCTAGGATTATAGGCTCTTAAAAAGAAAAAACAAAAGGTACCTAGCATTAATTATCAAGGTAATGGAAATGCAAATGACAATGAGGTTTCAGTAGGTCCCCTAACAAATGTGTAGTGATAATCAGTGTAATAATATTGAGGTATAGGACCTACTGGGGGTTTTTGACCACAGGCCCCATCCTCATTAAGTGATCTAATGCCCACTATACGAGGGCTTGAGGCTGTTTGATCTTTTGCTTTCTCTTGATTGTGCTTTCTTTCCCTTCTTATACTGTTAGCCATGGAATTACGCAGCAAGAAGGATTTCATCAGACACAGCCCCTCAACCTTGGGTTTCCCAGCTTCTAGAACTAAAAGAACTTTTTAAAATAAATCATCCTAAGCAGATACCATTCACACCCACTATCATGACTATGATTTAAAAAAAGACGAAAAGAAATTGGAACACTCATATGCTGCTAGCAGGAACATAACTAGTTTACAAAACAATCTGAGAATTTTTCTGGAAGGTTGAAAATAGAATTACTGAATGCCCCAGCAACTGTTCTAGGTATATATCCAAAAGAATTGAAAACATAGATCCACACAGGACAATTGTATACGAATGTCTGTAGAAGCATTATTCAAAGTGCAAACAACCCAAATGTCTACTAGCTGATAAATATATAAATAAAATATTGTACATCCATATATTGAATATCACTGAGCCCTAACAAGGAAAGAGTGATATGTGGTAAAACATGAATAAACTTTGAAAAGATTAAACTAATTGAAAAACACACACACACAAGGCCATATATAAGATAACTGGAGTAGGCAAATCTACAGAGAAGGAAAGTAGATTGATGGTTGTCAGTACGTGGAAGTACAGGAAATATGCCAATTGTATGAGATTTATTTTAGGGTATAATGAAAATGTTTTAGAATTGCATAGTGGTGATGGTTGCAATATAAATAAATACACAAATAAATAAACAAGATCAACTGTTTCTTGATCCAAGATGAGATCCAGTGTACTGTTAGTGGACTGTAGATGTAATCCAATTATTTTGACATTATTCAACTAGTGATGCTCATTTATAAGAGGGAAAGTTGCTGTTCAGTAATTTTTTCCAAAATTTATGTATTGACCAGTATATATTTGTTTATACTGCTCTGATATATAGTTGAGAGTGTCTATAATAATGATTTTTGCAACTGGTGAGACGGTGTTCGACTGTGATCTCAGTATTACAATCAGTGTTAGGAGGATGAGGCAGAAGGATTGCCGTGAGTTTGAGGCCAGTCCGCTGGATGACATGGTGAGTTCAAAGCCACTTGAACTATATATTGAAACCCTGTCTAAAAAAAAAATTGCTTCAAAACAGTGAGTGATAACCCTAAAGTTTCTGGAAATTAGTGCAAATTATTCAACTCTTACTTGTGTGAAAACAAATTCATGCGCAAACATAATGTCTCCTATTCTATTAAGTTAGAGCTTGCCAATCATGGGCTGGTTTGCAAGCTGTGCATCCAAGTCCTGGTGAATCCAAGGTTTTGGGCTTTTTCTGGAGGCTGCCTCTGATAGGATTACAGCTGTTGAGTAGAGGTGACTGGGACTTGGATGCAAACGTGGACCGAAATAGGAGGCAACTCAAAGGTTGTGAATCGCGCAGAGCATCTAACGCAGGAGATGGACTAGTTTAGAGAATAGGAAAAAAAAAAAAAAAAAAGAAAGAGGAGGAGGAGAAGGAAGAAGAGAAGCAGAAGCAGAAACAGAATAAAAAGAAAACAAACAAAACCAAAAAAAACAAGCAAACTTGAGGGTTGGGTTTGAAAAATGAGTACGTTTCAGGATAGAAGACGTGTCAGTGAAGTACAGCAGAGGCAAGCAATCTGCGAGGAAAGAAATGCAAGTTTTATTAGTGTGTGCTTGGAGCCGAAGGCTCATCTGTCTACCTGAAATACTCAGTCCCTACACAACAGCCTGAACTATCAGAGTAATCACCCTGGCTTTTTCTCCTTTCTGCTGTCCTTCCTAGCCCCTGGTCTCCATTCACCTTCCAAATGGATTCCTTGATCCACTCCACCAGATGGAATCCTTAAGATTCGCCGTCCCCATTACGACTTGTGAGTAGGTTTGGCCCGGCGCAGCCGCCGTTCCAGTCCTTGCGCACGCGCAGAGTGAACTGGAAAGAAGGTGAAAATGGCGCGGCCCCAGGCAGTGGCTCTGGGCGCCCGTTGGCTTCAAAGCGTAGCTCGGCAGGTGGTGCCGCTGGGGGCACGGACAGGTCCGCGGGAAGGGACGCGGCGTCATTCTGGGAAGGAGGGGTGACTAAAATATGATGCATGGGCGGGTGGGGGATAGTAGTCCCAGCAGTGGCTGGGATCCCGGCGCGGGACTGGGAGATGAAAAGGTCGCGCGGGTCAGGCAAATTCCCAGGTGGGACTCTGCAGCTCCTGAAGCCTTAAGTTTTCCAGGCACCCAGAGAACAGGGACTGTCTGACCTGCCCTCTTCTTCGCTCCAGCCTCCCACATGACCAAGGACATGCTGCCGGGCCCCTATCCTAGGACCCCAGAGGAACGGGCGGCCGCCGCCAAGAAGTATAATATGCGTGTGGAAGACTACGAGCCTTACCCGGATGAAGGCATGGGGTGAGGCGGAGACTGTCTGCTCGCCGGCCGGGTCGCTATGAGACACATTGCTACACTGCTACATGGCAGGGGGCGGGCGGGGGGGGGGGCGGACGCTTTACTCTGACCCTTGCTGCGGAATCGCCTCAGCGTCATCGGTGTGGGTGCTTTTCTTGGTGGAGGGAGGTGGGAGTATGTGGGTGAGCAGCTGCAGCTGAGAGGACTTTAATTTTTTCCTTGGCTCAGGCTGTTTTTTCTCAAATGAGGAAGCCGAGGTTTTAATGACTCCCTCGAGGACTCCCATATAGCGGGAACCTTCCTTGGCTCTGTGCACAGCGCTGGGTTTCATTTAGACTGAGCATCTGCTGGGCTCAGGTGCTGACATCCAAACACATGACTAGGCTGGAACTGGACTCTTGTCATTAGAGTCTTATTTGTAGACGGAGTACTCTATATCTCTTTAACTTCATTCCCTTTCTGTTAGGGCTGAGGAAATCGTAACACTGTTTTAGGCAAACTAAACAACTAACTTCCATTCTCCAATTGATGTTACCTCCCCATATCTCCAGTACTGATGGTTACTTATGTGTAGTGATTACCATCACCTTTATTTTCTGTCCTAGCATCATTCTTTCAGTCTTGTTTTCAGCACTTCTTATTCTTGTTTTCCATCATTGTCTGTGACATATGTCTAGTTATCATCATTTCCTTTTTTTTTTTTAAACTATTGTGGGTAGGAGCAGCCCTGTTAACAGTCTGTTAAGATTTATGTGGATTTGTTGGGAAGAATACCCAACAAAGCAAGATGTCCCAAGAAGTGTTTGAAGCACAGAGATGTGTGCCAATTTCTGATTGAGAAATAGTTGCTATGAAAAGAATGCTTTTCTAATTTGTACCCTTTTTTTTTTCAGGTTAGCTAGATGACTTGGATTCAGACCTTAAGTTTTTGTTTTATTTTTTATCTGATGAAGGAACAGAATAATTACTAAATTTCCTTTTAGCAGAGGTATTTCAGGACTTTTTAAGTATATGACTTTTAAGTAGGTAAGACTAGGTTATAATTTTCATTATTTTTTAAAGACAGAGTCTCACTATGTACCCTAAACTGGCCTTGAACTCACAGTCTTCCTACCTCAATTTTCTAAATGCTAGGATTACAGGTGTACTCCACCACCATCGGCAGGAAAGTTTATATATTGTAATGTGTCAGAGTTTGACATGACCTTTTTTTTTTTTTTGGTACTGAGAATTGAACTCATGGCCTCTTGTTTACCAAGCAGATGCTGGGCCGCTGAGCTATGACCTCTTTCCTTGAGATGACCTTTTAATTACAATTTGGTTAGTTCTCTGATTAGTGATTAGAACTTGAGATCTTGAATTAAGAGTCACTTCCTCTGTTCTTAGGTAGAGTGGTTGTATCTATTACTTGATTCTCATCTCTGAAATGAGACTCTGCATTTTCTGACACTGCTCACAGAATTCCAGAAATTCTTTTTATTTTTCAGGTATGGTGACTACCCAAAGCTGCCTGACCGCTCACAGAGTGAAAGAGATCCATGGTATGAATGGGACCACTCAGACTTGAGGTTGAACTGGGGTGAACCGGTGAGAAAACTCATTTAACCTTCTATCTCTCCTACTTGCTATGTTATTTCTGAGACCTTCTCTAGCTGAAGTGGCACTTCTGTGTCCAAGTAATACTAAGCTTTTGTGCTCAAAGACACATGGTCCAGTAACCTAAGACTTGAAGTTCCACATTTGGCACATGGAATGGAGCTTCTGGAAATAATTAAAGTTCTTATTGTTGAAATTGTATACTTTACGATAGACCTGGCTCTAGTGAGCAGAGCCTAGATAGAGGCCAACAGCCAGCCCTGTGCTCAGACTATTACTCTTAGACTGCAGAATGCTGCTCAGCCTTGTGTCAAGCTTCAGTCATGCTGCATTGCCTGCTTGGCTTTTGTGGGAAGAGCATTTTGTGATATTTGCCTGCTTTCTGCTCCAGATTCATTGGCACCTAGATATGTTTATCCGGAATCGTGTGGACACATCTCCCACACCTGTTTCTTGGAATACCATGTGTAAACATCTCTTTGGTTTTGTGGCTTTCATGGCGTTCATGTTCTGGGTTGGGGAAATATTTCCCAGCTACCAGCCCGTGGTGAGTATCTGGAGGTAATGTACCCCAGGCACATTACTTGCTTTCCTGGGGGAATTAAATCTCGGGGATAAGGAGCCAGTCAATACCAAGCTTAGCTTTCAGGAGTTGTAGAAGATAGAGACGCTTCACCCATTGGCTTGAATAAGTATCAGAGTTCTGCTTCACCCCTACTTGGACTAATCTAAGTGAGAAGACACACTTTAGGACTAGGTGAGGAATGAGAATGTGGAAGCCAGCTAATGTTTAGAGTTGCCATTTATACTTAACTGTTATATTTTAGGGAGTGACCTTTTATGGTAGCATCAAAGAATCTAGAGCTAAAGTTTTATACTTGTTGGACATGTAAAGGGCATTGTCTGTAGGGTACTGGAAGCAATTAAGCATCTATTTTTAAGCTTAGGTATATTTTGAACAATGTAAAGGATATAGAAAGTATACTGGTATGTTAAAGAAACTTAAGAAAATTTAGATAAATGACATGCACAGCATGTGAACAGATATGTGGAAGTTAGATTTGAGTGTATGTATATGGTGTGTGTATTTCTATGTAGTAAAGGTATATGCAAAGTGGAATGAGCTGCTGTCAGAAAGTAGGGCTAATGCTAGATGCTAAAAATGGGATTTGGGTGGTGAAGCTGGATAAAAGATTTAGGGTAAGGGGGAAAAAAAGGAAAAGGAGTGATTTAGTGAAAGTGGGATAGATATATTAAATAGTTCCTAGATAACAAGCTGCATTGGTTCCTTAAGAGCTGCTAAAAATTCACATTCCTTGGCTCCACTTTTTAGAGTTCATAATTCAGTAGCTGCATGGTAGAATTTTAGGATCAGTATTTTCAACAGTCCCCCAGGTAATTCTGATGTGCATGTCAACTTGGAAGTCACTGTGTAAAAAAATATTGGGAAGTGATCTAGTTAGGTGAGGCAGTTATTATTTTTCTTTTTTGGTACTGGGGATTGAACTCAGGACCTCGTGCTTGCCAAGCAGGTGCTTGTGCTGTTGAACTAAACCCCTGGCTCCAAGGCAGTTATTATTGTACAGTTGAGGAATTTGAATGTGCAGGTACAGTGATGTGTTAATTTAATACACAGTAATGCAGCCACTGCGGTGTACCAGGTGCAGACCATGCTAGGGCTTGGTGGTACAGTGATGGCTTGGTCTGCCTTCAGTAGCAGAGAACTATTTTCGGTTTTTGAATAGAAGAGTAACATGATGAAGGTTAGGTTCTTAGGAAATGAATTTAGGAACAGTCTCCAGGACGGATTGGAATGAGAGAGACCAAAGGCAGGGAGGCTGCTGTGTTTGCAGTTGGCTGCCCAGCGCCACCTCTGCAGAGATAATGTCCTGAAGGTGGCTAGTATGTCTGTGTGCACTGACACGAGCCTTCTTGCCAAGCCGCAGGGGCTCCTTGCTGAAGAGTGCATGTATGGTTGGGGTGAGCACTAACTTCACTTCAGGAGCACAGGACACAGTGTGGCTCTTCCATTTTTCAGGTCTATAAGCATATCACCCTCTTCTCCCCGCTTGAGTTGTGTTCTTTGACAGCTGTTTGTTGGTAAAGCCGGCAGCCCCTGAAGCACATCCCAGCCCTGTCTCCTCTGTGCTTCCCCCACTGCTGCTCCTGCACGCCTCATTTGCTGGGCCACTTTAGTGGTGGAACCATTAGAGGCTGAGTGACTTAAAGGAGATTGAGTCTGTCTCGACCTCGAGAGAGAACGGGATGGATGGATGCATCATCTCATTTAGAAAGCTCTGACTCTGATTCTCTTTTCTCCCCTACCCCTGCATATCCTACTCTCCCTCACTGTGCAGGTACCTCTTCTATTATAATTTAAGCTTTTTCTCTGCCTTGGGCTGAGTAGGGGGAGAAGTGCTGTTCCAGCCCAGCTGGGGCTGACCAGGGGCTGTCACACACCCATTTCCCATGCATGATTGTTAACTCAGAGTAGGGTATTGCCAGGCTTTGGATGACAGTGTGTTGTTGTTGGTTGCTGACCTGTGTTTTTTTCCTTAGGGGCCAAAGCAGTATCCTTACAATAATCTGTACCTGGAACGAGGCGGTGATCCCACCAAGGAACCTGAGCCAGTGGTTCACTATGAGATCTGAGGTTTTTTGGACTCTTATGTCCTCGAAGGAGGATTCCTCATTCCTAGAGATTTAACCTTAATGAAATGCCCAATAAAACTTAGTGCTCTGGTATCTGTGCTTCATTTCCCCAGGAATAGTCACTGCTGTGAAATGCCTCATCACCCCTCCCTGCCTACTCTTTTCCTTTCCCACTTTTCTGTCAGTGTAAGTAGAAGGACAGGGAGTTAAGCAGAAGGAGTTGTTAACTTCACTGGGATGGGGAGGTGACAGTTTCAGTTGTGTAGCAGGTGGTAAAAATCACTCCTTTTTTCATCTGCAGAATCAAAGGACATAGTCTTCCTAACTTCTCAGGTTGGAAAGATTTATTTCCAATTTTAAAAAAACAAGTGTGACACATTCCTGTAACCCCTAGCTCTTGGAAGGCTGGGGCAGGACAGCTGCTGAGTTGAAAGCTACACAGTGAAACCCTGTCTCAGAAAATTAAAAACAAACCATTTACTTTGTCGGGGGGTGTCTTTTTGAGACAGTGTTGCACTGTACAGTTCAGGCTGGCTGGTTTTGAATTCGCAGCAATGCTCCTGCCTCAGCCACCCAAATGCTGGTATTACAGGAGTGTGCCACCACACCCAGCAAAGCTGCTTTTTTTTTTTGCCTTGAATTTGCTATAAAGCCCAGGCTGGCCTTGACCTCAGCAGTCCTCCTGAGTGTGTGTCACCATGTCCAGCAATGATCATTTAGCAAACATGTATCTAAATACATATCACACATTAGTACACCCTGGAAATACAAAATTTAACAAGATAAAATGGACAAGTAGTTACTTAGAAGAGTAGTCCAGCAGTTACTATGTGAAAATAATTAAGAGATGTGTGAAGTGAAAAAGGCTCACTTTTATTTAGTCATGTCTTACTTGAAACTGATCCTGTCTCTCTCACATTTCTGTTGGAGTACTCCATCAATGGCACTTCTGTCTCACTCCATAATTCTGCCCACTGCTTCAGGTTCAGTTTTTAACCCTGCTTGCTTTTTCTCAGGTCTCATCCACTACTATTCAAGAAAAACTCAGTAGGTGAAAAGGGTGTTCTGAGCACAGACATCCTGGGCCTGACCTCGGAACTCCCAGATCTATATGAAAAGGCACTCCAGAGGTGTGTCAGAATGAGGTGAGCCCTACCTTCAGTTAACCAGGGCTTCAGCTTTGGAGTCACATCAGACGGGATTGCCGTCTACTGTGTTCATACATTGGGTGAGACTTGGACCAAGGACTTTAGCTGCTTACAAAACGTATTTATATGGAAATAACATAAGGCCTTAACAAAAAAAAGTGTTATTTTCACATCCCCTCCCCACATCCTCAAGTTCTGGAGCTCCACCACTAGCAGCAGTATTTTTTCAGGCTCCTACCTTGCAGGCATAATGATCTTGAATTCCTTTATCAGTCACAAGAGTTTGTGCAGCTTTTATTCATAACCACACCCTTCACTCCAAGCTTTCATCTCCCGGGTTCTATTAGTCTCCTAATTTGAGTCCCTGCCTCTAGCAAGTTCTGCTGTCTTGAAGGGCTTGCATGTTGTTAGATACAAAATAGAATCATTACCTTTTCGCATCCATACTGATGATTTTCAATAACGTGCAGAATCAAATAGGTATTCTAACGACTGTTTGGACCTCTGCCTTGTTTCACTCCAGGTGTGGAAAATACCAGTGTGCCTCAGTGGGTTGGGCCCCTCGCTGCTGGCAGAAACAGCAATGGGGTGCCAAAATCCAGGGTGCTCCTGGTCCAATGCAGTTGCTTTCCACATACCTGTAGCCCTGAAGAAGGCCTGCAGTGTGGAGTCCGGGTTAGGGCCTAGCTCTGGTGCAGGTGCATTGCCCTCTGCTGTTTGCCTAGAGCTTTTTACCTTTCTAAGGAAGGAGAGTCCACTGAGAGCCCCAGTGCCAGGGCTGCCTTCTGTGCTTTAACAGCTAGATAGTGAATAAGATTAGTAGTTTCCCTTTGTAGGGGTTAGTCCGGCAGCCTGGCTCACGTGAATAAATCTACTGGTCTAGGAGCTGACTCTGTCAGGACTGTGCAAAGGTGTAGGTAAGGGAGGCCCCCGGAGTAAAAGCTGTGGTCTCACCGTCCTCGGGAGCGTTCTGTATAGACTATTCCTAATGGGACAGAAGTAGTTTGGACCTCGGCAGCCACCGTCCACAGCTCCCGGAGTCCCAGCTGGGCGCGCAGGTGGGTTCTGCTAGGTCAGGGTCTGGGCGAAGCCTTGAGGGCCCCGGGTCGCCGCTTCTTTCCACGAGCGCCGGCGTGGGATCGCCAGCTACCACCCTGAGCTCCGGGACAGTGCCCCGACTGACCGTGTGCTGAGTGCCCCCCCCCCCCCCAGCAGAGTATTTGGCCCAGTATTCTGCCCCAGACTGCAAGCATGTGACACACTCCAGGGGGGTCCTGCCGGCCTGTGGCTCGACCTGGCCGGTTGTCCTCTCAGCAGAGCAGGGGTAGAAGTAGTGCTTAATGTAGAGAACCATTGAGAGAAACACAGACCTGCAAGTCCAATGCACAGTTGCTGTGTGCCGCATCTGTTTTCGATATTGGAAGTCTCCTAAGAAACATTAAATGGCAGTGACCGGCAGGTGGCACTGGTGACTGCGTAGTGTGCAGTGATCAGAGACTGTTTCTCAAGTGTGGTACTTGAGCGCCAGCCCCAGAGCGGGCCGGTGTTATGGTAAAACAAAGCAGAGTTTACATATTAGTGCCAGAGACCAACAATGTAAATGTAAACACATATAAGTTGCTAGACAAAAAGAATTGAGGTTTTCTGAGTGAGTCACCTCTTGAAGAAGTCAGATCTTGAGCCCAGAAAGATGTAATAAAGAGCCAGTCATACAGAAAGTGAAAGGGAGAGTATTGAGAGTGTAGGAAATGTAATTTTTATAGACTTACTTTGTGGGTATATTTTAGATATACATAGTGATAACATTCAATTTAGGGAATTTGTACCTGTACATTGTACATCTTGCTGCTGCTTTTATTCCCTTTTCTTTCCCCTCCAACCCCTCTTTCAAGCTTTGTTTACATTTTTTCTTTCAATTTTTTCTTGTACTTACTATTTCCCCCACCCCCATATAATTTGCAAAAGCTGTACTGTAAGCTGAGCTCTAATTTTGTTCTGGGGTATTGAAATATTTTGTGCATTGAATGCCACAATCTGTTCTTTATTTTAGAACTTAACTCTTGCTTTAATGTAGAGAGTAAATTGGAGGATGGCATGAGTAGCAAAGAGACAACCCAGTTGGAGACTATTGCAAGAATCCGGGTGAGATGTTCTAGTACCTACACTGCTGGTGGCAATGTAGTTAAAGATAAGTAGACAAAAGGAGACAAAATTAGGAAGATTAAGTGATAAATTAGAAGAGGTTAATGACAGAGAAGGATATAACAAGGATTATTCAGGTTTATGGGCTGATTTACCAAGGTGAAAAAAGATGAAGGGAAAACAGAATAGCATGGGAAGAGATGTTGGAATAGATAATTCCAATTTAGACAGACTAACAGGAAACTTTGTTATATCCAAAAAGAACTACTTAGTTAACAAGTACATATAAGAATTTGGTGCTCAGAAAAAAGTAATAACAGTGCTCAGATGACAGATTCGTGTTAGGGTTACAAACACGGGGATTGTCTGCATATGGGCAGTATTTAAAGTCAAGGAAATGGATAGAATCACTGAGATATGATCTGGCTTGATGGTTCTCATCTTTTGGGCCTGAGGCAATCATTGCGGTTAAATATTGTTTGGGGTTTAAAGAATTAGGTCTCAGTAAATGAACAGTCCTTAGGTATCTTGTACTTGTCAGTCTTGTGTTGTCCTGAAATACCCTGCCTTGTGGTAGAGAAAGAAAAACAAGATCTCATGTCCACAGATGATTTTCTGGATCTGATCCATAGGCTTGCTAGTTTTTCAGTGGGGCTGAGAGGCATGTCAGTTTTCTGCCACCTACAGGACAGACCATGAAGCTGAAGGAACTTAAGCAGCCAGCTGTTCAAGTGTGGAGCCCAGCCAGCCAGTACCCTGTGTGTCTGGCCACAGGTATGGTGATACTAGATCTGCATAGGTTGAGGGATAACTTAGCTAAAATTCTTTATTGAGCATCAAATCATTTGGACCATAGGAAATAGTAACAGTTCACAATATAAACTAGGGGATAGTGAGTTTTAGGTATATGGGAACCATCTTGGACTATGGTTCAAATCTAGGGATCTTCTCCCTTCCTCTTTCTCTGTCACCCGTTTCCCCTCCCTTTTTCTCTCTCCCCCTCCCTCTCTTGGAGTTGCCCTTTGAGAAAGAGAGAAGTATCCTCAATTCTCTTCTCACTCTTCACTTTCTAACCCATTTATCCTGCATCTATTGTTGATCATGTGCTGTTTCTTGACTTTTTCTTGTGCCTAGGAACATCTGCCCAGCAGCTGGATGCCTCTTTTAGCACAAATGGCACATTGGAAATCTTTGAGGTTGATTTCAGGGACCCTTCTCTGGACTTGAAACACAAAGGAGTCCTTTCTGCTTCAAGCAGGTACTGTCTGGACTGTTAATGGGTGTATAGGACAGAACTTGTGGAAGGTGCTGATGAGGAATCCTGGAAATAGTGTGTACAGGAGGCAGCATGTGAGAGGAGAAGGAGCTCCACCAAATAGGAAACAAGTTAATTTTGACCTTATTTTGCAAAAGGACTTAAAAATTAACTTGCCCCACCTTTCTAGTCAATAGCAGTAACACCATCTGAGGCTGTGTGATAGAGATACCTTGCTCGAGCTGGAACCAACAAGTATTCCATCTCCCTTTGTACCTAGAGATGTTACCTCCTGCCTCCCTTCACTCTCCTCCCTGAATAAAGTGAAGCTAGTGACCTTACACTGTATCACCTTTCTGCCAACAATGAGAGTAACAAATGATCCTCTCCTCATTGCTGTTAGGCATTATTTGGGTACTCATGGAGTTCATGGCTCTGGCAGGCTGGGTACCTGTGGATTTTGGTGTGTAATAGCAATGAAAACAGGGTTGTTGATTCTCTTGTTAGCAGAAAAAGCTAGGAGATTTCATAAACCTTGGTAGTCCAGGTCCTCTGGTGTAGTGAACAGTTATGCGTATATGTCAGACACTATGCTCAGGGCCATGCACATTTTATTTATTCCTCAAAATAAGCTTAAGTGACACATACCGCTGTTTCCATTTTACGTAGGAGTGAACTGAAACTTCAGTCCAAAGCTTCCGTCTTTCCACTGCCTTTTAAAATATTTTTTAAAGATGGAATTTAGTCTGAAGCAATTATAGATATTTGCATCATTAGACAAAATATGAATATTTTATTATATATTCAATATAAACAATACACATATATTACTATATTATTTATAAAGTATCTTTCTTTCTTTCTTTTTCTCTCTTTTTTTTTTTTTGTACCAGGAGTTGACTTTGTGCTTGTGTTTTGTGGCAGCTATATCTCTGCCCTGAAGTATATTTTCTACAAATTTTCAAATTCAATATATCCCTGTTTTTCTTAGAGTCTGCTGAGTGATCCTGTTTATCCTACTTTAGAGATAACTGGTCTAGAAGGTAGCCTTCTTTCCAGCAGAGGATGGATGGACCTTTTGTGTCTTTCTTGGTGCCTCTGAGAGATTAAATTTTTAAGCAGAAGCCTTTGCTTTTCTTTTCATGATTTAACCTAATGATAAAGGTTGGTTATGGTTTGCTTGTTTTTGAGTCCATGGGTTGTTTTGTAATAGCATCCCTTATTTTGCAGTGGTTTCCATTTCTTTGAATTTTCTGTTGTGTTAAGTATACTGTTAGCTGGTAGATCTGTGGCTCTGTGTAAGTTAAGTTTTAGGTTTTCACATGTATGAAGAAGTCATAGAAAATGATTTCTAAGAACCTGCTGAGACACAAATTCAGGTTTTATATTTAGTCCTCTCTTTTTCTGTGTAGTTTCAGGTCTTTTCCTTTGTTTTTCTTTTAACCCCTTCCTACGTCTCTTCATTATTAACTATGTGTGCTTATCAAAATCATCCCCTTCCCACTGCTTGCCATTTTCCCAATCGTTATTCCATGGTGCCATTGTCTCTGTTGCTGCCATCATTATCCTTGAAACCTCTCTAGCAAAGAATTCCACCTGTACTCTCATGTTTAAAATAATTCCTGCCAAGCATGGTGAGGTGTGCTTGTAGCCTCAGTACTCGGGAAGCTGAAGTAGGAAGATGGCCATGAGTTCAAATCCAGCTTGGTCTGCAGAGTGAGTCCAAGGTTAACCTGAATTATAGTGAGTCCCTGTCTCAAAAATTGCTGGGGATTTAGCTCGGCGGCGTAAGTGCCTGCCTTGCAAGCAGGCAGTCGTGAGTTCAATCCCCATTATGGATAAAAAGAAAAAAGAAAAAAAAAAAAAACTACACATACGCACAGAGAATTTCTACCCTAAACAAACTCTTAACTCTTTTTTCTATACCTCATCCTTAAATTTCTCTGCCCCTATTTTTAGGATAAAGGTTCTCGTTTTGTGTGTGTGGTACTGGGGCTTGAACCCAGGGCCTTTCCACTGAGCTGTATGTCTTAACTCTTTTTCGAGTTGAAGTCCTAATGGGTCTCTAAATTTCCTAGGACAGACTTGAACTTTCCATCCTCCTGCATCAGTCTCCTGCAGTGCTGAGAACATAGACATGTGTCACCCAGCTTAAGTTTGAATTTTTAAAAATTATGGTTAATATAGCACAACAAAAACTGGGTACAGTGGTGCACCCAGTGGTGCAATTACATCTGTAATTCTAGCACTCTGGGAGACGGTGGTAAGAGGATTGCAAATTCAAGCCCTGTCTGAACAATTTAGCAAGACTTTCTCTCAAAAAATAATTTTTGAAAAAGGATTGGGGATATACCTCAGTGGTAGAAAACCCCTGGATTTGATCTCCCAATGCCATACACAGACACAAAAAGAAAACTGTGAAAGATTATGAAAGACCATAATGAACAGTCACATGCCCTTCACTTAGGTACATCCTTTGTCCACTTAGTTTCATGTTACTTCCCTCTTCCTGTGCCCCCAATGGTTGTCTCTCATTTTTTGTCCATTGGCAGGCCAGAAATGGTTGACACTTTTTTTTTTTTTTTTTTTTATCGGTACTGGGGATTGAACTCACGATTGTCTGCTTGCAAGGCAGGTGCTTATGCCACTGAGCTAAATCCCCAGTCCCTGGTTGACACTTTTGAGCCCATGGAGTGATAAGTCTTTCCTGGTTTTGGGTCAAAAATGGCCCTCAGAGCCTGGTGTGTTTGGGAGGTAACTGGGTCGTGGCTGATGGAGGTGGGGTTCTGGCTGGAAGAGGAGGCCCTGGGGTGTGGCCTGGCAGGGTCCTTCTGCCTTCTTGGCTCTTCCTTTGAGTCCTGCTTCCTGGCCCCACGAGTGAGCAGCTTTTACTCTGCTGTGTCATACTGCAGTGGAACCAGCTGACTGTGGACTGAAATGTGAGCCCAAATAAGCCTCTGCTCCTTAGGGTTGCAGGTGTTTGGGATTTTGTTCTAAGATCGAGAATACTGACAAAGCCTGTCTCCTTCCTTGTTTAACTCAGTTCAGTGCTCCCACTTTGTAGGTGCTTCCTGTTGCAGCTTCTGCAGTTGCCAACCTCCCCTTATGAGGCAGGTGATGAGTAACAGAATGCATTTCCTACACTTGCGTAGAAAGACAACCGTTTCATCACACCTGGCGTTCTGCAGCTCAGCCCTGTGATGTAACTGCTCCCATCTCTCACTCCTTGCTGACTCCCCCTTGAGGGCTCAGAGCACATGTCATGTGCTCTGGCTATACTGAGGTCAGCCGACCTCTCCATTCTTGTGAATGTCTTTTCTGGCTGTTTTCTCCTCTGGTTCCTGTGACCTGTTATGGGCTTCTCTCCTTACTTAGATGGCTTGTCCTCTGCTGTCACCCTGAACGAAAAGGCAACTTCTTGAGCCAGTATAGACATGTTCTTCTGCCGCATGACAGATCAGTACAACTTTCAAAAGCTGCTGTTCCCACATAGCCTTGGAGCTACCATAGCTAGCTGTCCTTCCCCTTCAGTTGCTGGCCGTCCTCTGACTGGCTTAGCTTGCAGATCCGCCAGGGTGGCTCTGCTTGAATGCCTAACAGTCAGGTTCTTGCTTGGTCACCCTGCTCAGGTTCTTTGTTGTTTCCAGTGTGTGAAAGTATCTCACTATACCTAGGGACCTTGTGACATCATGTGCTGTGAAATTTGCCTTCTCCGAAGGGATGTGGAAATACCCATAGCTAGCAGCTGTGCAATGGGAGACAGATTCCCACTGTCAGGCTTCAGGGAGCTCACACACTCCCTTCGGGGATCTGGGGTCAGTCTTTATTTTGTTTTAGTTTAATTTAATTATTTATTTTTGAGTACTGGGAATCAAACTTAGACCCTCATATTTCCCAGGCAGGCACTGAGCTAAATCCCTGGCCCCAGTATTTTTTTTTAATGCACTCTCAGAAAGCCAGCTTCCCAATTGGGGCTTTTATCATGTGTGTCTCTCCATCTCTAGGGCTGGCCCGCAGCAGCCACATGGAAGAGATATGTGGCAGGGAAGTCCCACTTATTTTTTCTCTCTTTCCAGCTTGAGAGAGAAGGGGATAGTAGTTGCTTGCCTAGGGAGCCTGCTTTTTAATCATTACAAGAGAGCGTGGGTCTTTTCAGTGGGAGGCAGTATTTTAAGATGTAAAGAGTTCAGGCTCTGAAATAAGACTGGTCTGGCCACCCAATTCACAACTCTAAAATGAGGATGAAATTAGTAGCTCTGTATGTAAAAATTTTGCATCTTCTGCGAGCTACAGCTTCCTTAGATAGCAATGGGGACAACAGTAATATCTTAGAGAGTTATTGAAATATGAAATCAGCTAGTACTTGGAAAGCACTCAGAATGAGTGTTGTTAGGAAGCAGAGGCTGTTTATTATTACCTGTTTGACTTGTGAATGTTAACTGTTTGAAGTAGTGATTAATTTGGTCTATTGGTGAGATAGAGAAAGAAAGGAGAAAGAAGGAAAAGAGGCCCTTAATAGGGGCAGAGAAGAGTTGAAGAAGGGGGGCACACACCCTCTACAGTAACAAAGGAGTGCGGGGACTTTAATCATTGCTGGTTAGGGGAGGAGTTTGCAGATGGATGGGGAAGTTACATAGGTATCAAGTTGGGCATCACTTTGGCATGCATGGGATTGGGAGGAAGGAAGTTTATCCTGGGCGAGGGAAGAAGAAGAAGGAGATCAATAAAGGTATTGTTGTTGGCTCCTTCGCCATTTTGTACCAGTGCCATAATGACTCAGCATAGTTTGTGTGGGAAAAGCCTGTCAGTGATCACAGGTCCCCTGTAACCCAGTTAAAAAACATTGAAAACAGCTTCCTGACTTCTCATATAATGCTACTGACTATTCCTTTTGGGAAGGACAGGACCAGGGAAAGGAGACCTCCCTTTCTGCCTGGGGAATTGTGACAGGCAGGTTGCAGTGTGGGTTGGGATGCTTACCTGATGGCAGAGGCTGACAAATATACCTACCCTCTGCTTGTGACATGGACCTAAGATTGTACTGATGCCAATTACCCCTCTTTGTAGGTTTCACAAGCTGACTTGGGGGAGCCTTGGCAGTGGCCTTCTGGAAAGCTCCGGGGTTATTGCAGGCGGCGGGGATAGTGGCATGCTTACTCTGTACAATGTGACTCACATCCTGTCCTCAGGAAAGGAGCCTGTGATTTCTGAGATACAGAAGCACACAGGGGCTGTGAGAGCCCTTGACTTCAATCCTTTCCAGGTACTGCATTTTAGTTGATCAGGTACAACCAGACAGCGAGCAGCAGGTCCGCAATGGAAGCACTCCCTTGTGGCCTCTGAACTTTTCCAAGCTCTGGGGGGACTTTGGATAACCCACATGCAGGCCTCTTTGCCTTCTTCCTGATGACCCCTCTCTCCAGGATAGTGTGTCTCCAAGTGCCTTTTATTCATACAGGGCAACCTCCTGGCCTCCGGGGCCAGTGATGCTGAAATCTTCATCTGGGATTTGAGTAATCTGAGTGTTCCAATGACGCTAGGATCCAAGTTACAGGTGACTGCTCTTCCCTCAACTTGGCTGTTGCTTAGGGTGTACAGCTGATTTTCCCAGACCCAGTCTTGAATTCCAGAGCGAGCCAGAGAACAAGAGATTTCAGGGTTCACTGCCAGAGGGCAATAAAATTTCACAGACTGGGGCTGGGGATTTAGCTCAGCGGCATAAGCCCCTGCCTTGCAAGCAGGCAGTCATGAGTTTGATCCCTGGTACTGATAAAAAGGAAAAAGAAAAAAAAAATTCACAGACTAACATGCTACTAGCCAGATGAGAACTGGGACAGGGAGTATGGCTGGGCTGTGTGCTGAGTATCAGTTTGCACTCCTTACTCATCCTGAGTTTCTGGGAGGAAGATAAAGGGGAGGGAAAACAAAGGACACTGAGAAACAAATTGGAGTGCTGCTATCACAGTGTGGTTATAGCCCTGGGCTCAGGGAAGACTCTTGTCCTCTGTGTGCGAAGGTCCAGGTCATCTGCATGGGTGACTTCCATGCAATCAGGGTCTGGTGTGTCTTCTGAATGTACCTTTCTGTACATTTGATGACCCCTCCCCCACTTTTTTCTTCATAGCTTTTTCTGTCTTCTGCTTAGAGTATTGTGGTAGATTAGTTATAAATTTCATAGCACCTCATTCTGAAAGTAGCATTGGTTTTTCTTTCTGTCTAACATTATCTGGGGGCCTTTGGTAGCTTATGTTTCCTTCTCTCTTTCACTTTTCTCCTTCTGTCCCTCTTTCTTTATCTAAACAAGAGGACTGTAAATCTTGACTATATGCTTTCAGGAGAACTTTAGGGTAGCAGTAAAACTCAAGCATGCCTGCCTTTCCCCAGTGTCTACACCAGGATCCTAAAGAATCTTCCTGGGAAAATCCAGCCCCACCTCCCTAAGAATGTCCTAGTGTGGGGAGCCCCAGGTGTGCTCTTGAGCTTGCTGTGAGGGTGGGGAGCAGTGGAACAGCAGATGTCACTTGGTCCATGGGATGATGAGTTGTCCTACTACCCGGTCTCTGCAGCCCTCAGAAGACATCAGGGCACTGTCTTGGAACCGGCAAGTCCAGCACATTCTGTCTTCTGCTCACCCCAGTGGCACAGCAGTTGTGTGGGATCTCAGGAAGAATGAGCCTATCATCAAAGTCAGTGACCATCGCCATAGGGTAAGGAGTAGAAGCCACAGCCCAGGCCTGGACTCTGCCTTTCTTATGCCAAGCAGTCAGAGCTGCTCTGCCCAGCCAAGGGCAGAGCATTTCCCACTGTGGAATATGTGGATTTAGCCTCTTAATAGTTTTCCTATTAAGAGTGATGGCTGTAGTCTTCCCAGTCACATGGAAGAGATACAAAATCTGCCCACAGAGTAGTCCCAGTCCAATTGGGAAGAAGTTCATAACTAAAATAATCAGGGTATGTCATCCATTGAGATCTGTTTTGTTCACAGATGCATTGCTCAGGCCTGGCCTGGCATCCAGATGTAGCCACCCAGTTAGTGCTGTGCTCAGAGGATGACTGCCTTCCTGTGATTCAGTTGTGGGATTTGCGCTTTGCTTCCTCACCTCTGCAGGTGCTAGATGGCCACAGCAGGTAGTATCTCAAAACCCACCCCATCTTGATACAAGTGACCAGCACAGAGGCAGCAAATGCCTCACTTTAGCTACCAAGCATCCTGATTTCTAGCCTACTGCAGTGAACACATGGCCAGTGCTAGCTCGAATTTGAACCAAGATGAGTTCACTGAGATGTGAAGTTATGGAGGAGAGTCTGTGATTCAACCTACTGTCAGAGAGTGAGGCTGGGGTTGTAAGAAGTACCTGAGCCCATGTATCATTCCTGTGTTAGTCAGTTTGTCATCAGTGTAACAAAATACCTGAGACAATACCTTAAAGGAGAGAAGATTTGTTTAGCTCAAGGTTTTGGAGGTGTCATTTCATGACTGATTAACATCACTGCTTTTGGGCCTGCAGTGAGGCAGCACACCATGGCAGGGACTTGTGGCAGAGCAAACTATTGATCCCATGGTCCTGGAATATGGGAGAATGAGGAAGAATCAGCGTTCCACAGTCCTCTCCAAGCATTTTCAACAATCAGAGACTTCCCAGTAGGCCCAGTTCTTAAAGGTTTCAGTGGCTCTCAGCAGTACTCTGAGGACCAAGTCTGTAACAATGGACTCAGAGTAAGCATCCCCCAGGAGGGTCCCTAGGCTCTGATCTGAAGGAAAGCTCATTGAGTGACAAGGTCACCTCCTCCAAGACCTCCTGCAGAGCAGCTTGGCTCATATGGTCCAGTGACCAGCTCTGCCTTTATAGCTGTAGCTCTTGAGGTGTTCTTTCGACAAAAGGGCCATGATGCCTTAAATCTCCTCAGGTACTTTGAGGGTTGGGTCTTCAATAAAAGTACCACAGGGATGGGTGTTTGTGTACTTTCTACAGATTGATGATCCTGCTCTAACTGGTGAAAAGCAGGCATTTCAGCAGTGACCTATGGAAGCAGAATCTGCAGTGCCCTGGAGTTCTGGGTGTGGAGCTCTTGAAAGTTACTTAATTTTTCAAAGCCTCATTTTCTTCATTTGTCATGAAATCAGACCATCCAATGGGCACTGAGATTTATCAGAGATACATAAAGCACTTTACTAGAGTGGACATTTAGCAAATATTAATTGTTCTTTCTGTTCCTTCTTAGGGGGATCTTGTCAGTGTCATGGAACCATGCTGATGCTGAGCTGTTACTCAGCAGTGCCAAGGACAACCAGATCTTGTGCTGGAACGTGGGAAGCAGTGAGGTAGGATGACTGGTTTTCAGGCCCTGTGGAATGGAAATGAGATGGCAGAGGGACCCTAACTATGTGTTTACATTGCCTTTCCTTGGGCAGGGTGTCTGGACTCTGTGGTTCCTAATGGCTGTGTTCCCTCAGGTGGTATATAAACTACCCACAGAGAGCAGCTGGTGTTTTGATGTGCAGTGGTGCCCTCAAGACCCTTCAGTGTTCTCTGCTGCCTCCTTTGATGGCTGGATCAGTTTGTACTCCGTTATGGAATGGAGCTGGGAAGTCCAGCACATGAGACAGGCTGATAAGGTTTGAATGGCTCAGTGTAAGGTGATGGAGGGAAGGGGCTGCCTGTATTTTGGGGGAGAGAGGAGGACACATGGCCTGGGAAGAAGTGTGTTGGGGGATAATGGGGCTACTAGAGCCCTAGGGTTTGGAGGGCTGGAGAAAGTCCAGGGCTCATCTTCCTGGGAGGATGTCAGTTTCTGACATGACAAGATTCTTCACCTTGATCCCTTTACTGGATGTTCGCTGAGGCATTTCAGGGACATTGAGCCTCTATGCTTAGGTCTTTGTCATAGGAGTATGGACTATTTTCTTTCCCTTTCTCCTGTGGTCCTTGTAGACTCTGAGTGGAGCAGGCTTTCTAGGAGCCTACTGCATGGGAGTCCCACCCTCATTCCCAGTGCCTCACTACCCCATCACTTATAATGTGGAAGTCTGACCTTTCTAGGTCTTGAGGATTCCTTCCAAAATGGACTTTGTAGGTGAAATTCTGGTGAAGCTGCCACTTAAGGCTAGTGATGTAGCTATCCTTTCTCCTCAGATTTCCTCTTTCAGCAAAGGCCAGCCTCTCCCACTACTGCAGGTGCCAGAGCAAGTGGCCCAAGCATCACGGATACCTCCCCTGAAAAAGCCCCCCAGATGGATTCGAAGGCCATCAGGTGTTTCTTTTGCTGTAAGCATCACGGGTGTGTGGTAGGATTGTGTGTGTGAAACTGCCATGTGCTCAGCATGAAGCTAAGTTCATAGGTGACCCATTCCACTACCTTTGTCTGAGATCAGGCCCTTCTCCATCTCTCAAACAGTTACTCTAGCTGCTCTCTCTTTCCTCCTGCCCATCCTGCACTCTACCTACTCTGCCAGGCCTATCTTCAATGACTGGTTTAGACGTCTACAAATGGAGATTTTTATCCAGTCATTCCCCTGCAACTTGGGTCCCCCATTGCTTTGTAGACTCAAGGCTGAGTGTATACAGGGTTCTGGTTACCTTTCCAGTTCTGATTGCCATCTTATTCTTATGTGTTCCCTACATTCCAGTTACACATGACTCCTTTAATTCCATGACTAGCTCCTCCACTGTCTTGCTTCTGCTTGTACCTTGCCTTCCTGATTCATTGAATCCTACTGTAGCTTTGAGGGTCTCCCACTTACATAATATCTCCTCCATGATCCTTGAGTTTAATCCTATCAAAACTAACCTTCTTCTGTAATCCACAGATTTATATTCTGGTATCTTCTGTCTATACTGTATTTCTATACATATCTGGGCCATACTATGTAATAAACTCTGTAAGGATAGGTACCATATTTTGTTTATTTTTATAGCCTTAAAATAGTGCCTCTCAAACTTTAATATGCATACACATAATGATCATAGTTGCTCTGGGGTAGCACTCAAGATTCTGACTTCCACTGAGTTCTCAGATGATACTTTTGCTGCTAGTCTGAGGCCTGAAGCCTCTAGTACAGTGGTGGCAAACCTGTGGCATATATGCTACAGCCAGCTGTTTGCTATCGCTGAAAGCTCTAAAAGGTTTGCCATCATTACTCTAGTACAATGCTTTAAATATTAGGTTTGAATTGAAAACAGATGCATAAAAGTAGAGGTTCTTATTTTTAGAGCCCACAGTTTCATTGAGATGCTAAGACTAAGAGGTTATGAGAAAAAGAGGAGGAAGGGTAGTGCAGTGAAGAACCCTGAGGTCAAGAGGCCCATTTTTTAATTGCAGCTCCATCATTTATAAGCAGGATAACCTTGAGCAAGACATGTAACCCCTCAGAACTTTGATGTTCTTTTTTTTGGGTGTTCTTATCTGTAATGGTTGATAGATTGTGTCAACTTGAGAAGTTTAGAAATATAACTAAGTAACTCAGTAGTTCTACATGCTGGGGTGTAGAGGGTATGCCCTATGGAGGCTGTTTACATTCCAGGATGGTGTAATGGTTGATTCATTGTGTCAGCTTAAGAAGTTTAGATGTTTAAATGATTCAGCGCCAGGCCAGGGTCCTCACTTTGTGTCACGGTTTATGTCAGTGGTGGCCCCAAGTCTCATGCAATTGTAGAAATCTAGAAATGCAATCATGCAAATCTAGCGTTCATGATTTGTTTGTTGTCTAGCACTTGGATTGGTGGTGTGAATGGTACACCAACCCAGGAGTGGAGCCAACATGTAGTGTAATGGCAGGAAGAAGGTGTTTCTCTCTCTTGCTGGTTCACTCCTTGTTGTTCGTGGTGATCATAAACGGCTGCCCTGCCCTGCCATCATGCCCTGGAGTAAACTAAATACAGACTAAAACCTCCAACCTATAAGAAATAAATCTTCTCTAACTTTGGGCATCCAGTATTTTGTCTCAACAATAAGAAAAAATAACTTAAGACACTTTGTAAACAACCTCAGCCTGTGCAAGAGAAACACCAAATGTTATGGTTTGTTTAAATGTCCCTCCAAAACCTCAGTCAGTCATGGAGGCTACTGAGTCCAGCATTTATGATTGGTTCATTGTCTAGTGCTGGGATTGGCAATGTGAGTGCTGTGCTGTCCAGGGGCAGGTAACTGATATACAGTGTAAGGGAGAGAAGGAGGCGTGCTTTCCCCTTTTTTGTCCTTTTTGCTTCTGTCACTTGTGGTTGCCATGAACAGTTGCCCCTCAGCCACACCACCCTGCCTTGGAGCCAGCTGAGTATGGACTGAAACCTCCAAAAAAATCTGTAAGCTACGTAAACTTTTCTTTGCTTCACTTTGAGCATCAGGTGTTTTGTCTCAACAATGAGAGAAAAGTAACCAAGACACCAGAGAAAATGTGGGTATAAAAGACCCACCCTAGGGCAGACAGCTTACATACAATATAAGGGAGAGTAGAGGCTTGCCTGTCTTCTTTGCTCTTACTGCTTTTGCTGTTCTGCTACCATGAACTGTGCCCCTCTGCCATACCACCTGACTTGGAGCCAGTTGATGATGGACTGAAACTTCTATAAACTATGAGCTAAATAAACCTTTCCTTCCTTCCTTTTGGTCATTGGTTGTTTTGTTACAGCAATGAGAGAAAAGTAACCAAGACATCTGTAAAATGGACATAGTAATATCTATTTGGCATCAGTGAATTGTCATGAGCCTCAGATGAGACAAGATGTGAGCACTTTGTAAAACTCTCATATAAATCAGAAGCTGAGGTGGTTTTTGTCAGCCTGTGCTACACACTGGAATGACCTGAAGATTTAAAAAACCCTGATGTGTACTTCCCACCCTCCCAGATGTTGTGATTTTATCATTTGGGTGTGCCTGTGGGCCTGGTGGTCTCTTGAGGTGAATGTGTTCCTGTGGCTGACAACTGCTGGAGGAAGGAGATGGTTCAGGTTTCTCCTTTGTGCCAGGAGCTTTCATAAACTTTCAGAAGGACACTGCAGGTGGGGGTGCAGGTCAAAGCACAGAGGCAAGAATGACTGGGCATTTTAGGGATGGGGAGCAGTTACATAAATGATCAGGGAGAAAGAAGTGCAGGGAAAGACAGACTTGGCTGACTTTGTGGGATTTGTGCAGTTAGGGTTTTTAGGTAGACAAGTATAAGTGCTATCCTGAAGCTTGTGAATCCATTTAAAGATCCTGAGTAGCAACTGGGTGGCACAAGCAATAGGTTAGAGGAGGGAAAGGAAAAACAAAAACCCCAGGAAACGAAGGCTGGCACACTCTTTTGGTAATCTAGGTGTGCTAACACTGGGAATGGAATAGGAGGGACCTTGAAGAGACAAGAGACATTGAACCACTGAACAGAATTTTTGCTTGACTGAAATGAGTGTAGATTGTGATAATGTTGAGGTGTTTGGGCCAAGTGCTAAGGCGAATGAAGGTACTGGCACAGGAGAGACCAGACAAGTTCTATGTGGTACGCTGGCAGGTGGTGGTTTTTGGAATGTATAAGTGAGTTTGGTATGATGCACATTCTCCAATGTCTGAGCCTATTCCATTTCTCAGCTCTTTGTATTGATTTCCTTTGGGTCACTTTCTTGTGATCCTGAGTTAATGTCAGCTTTTGACCTGAAGCTATAACCTTTACTCTTCTTCCTTTTTACTTTTTCTTGGCAGTTTGGGGGGAAGCTGGTTACCTTCGGCCTTCCCAGCACTCCTGGCCAGCATGTGCCACAGCCTTGGCCCCGCCTTGTCTTCATCAGCCAAGTCACCACAGAATCTGAATTCCTGACACGATCAGCTGAACTGCAGGAGGCCTTGGGATCAGAAAATCTCCTGAATTATTGTAAGAAGCAGAGCCAGCGAGCTTCACTGGCAAGTGAAAAGGTGCTCTGGCAGTTTCTGAAGGTAGGAAGCTTACAGGCTGACTGCTTACCTGTGTTTCCCTAAATCCCAGAACTCCAGCCATGTCAACTTCAGGACATGTATAGTCACACAGATTACAGAGGCTCTAACCCCCAGCCGCTCTTCCTTGTGTCCTCTAGACACAGAGTCTTCACCCTTGGCCAGAAGCTCAATAGATACTTGTGAACATGAGGAGAATAAGTGATATTTTCCTTCTTGCTGCTGTGGCTGATGTTCTTGCCCTTTACCAGGGCCATGGTGAATCCTTTTACAGTGTCATGCCAAAGGGTAGATAAGATGATGGGAAGGAAGAAGACAGGAAGGAAAGAAAAAGAATAGAGGAAAGGCTTAGCTGCAATGGCACATCATCATAAGAAGGCCTTGAATTTGTTTTTGGTAACCCAGAGCAAGTTGTGTGTGGGCCCAGAGTAAGGGCTACTCCACTGTAGGGGCAGAGCTGTGGTTCTAAGCTGCTTGTGACATCAGGAATGCTGTGTCAGAGCAAATGAGCAAATGAGACCTCTGCAAAAAAGAAAAGGAAGTAGCTGACTGATCAGAGGGTGGGAAGACTGTCCAGCTCTTTGGGATTATAGAGAAGAATGCAAAAATGACAGGGCCTGTCTCAGGCTCTGAGAGGGATTTGGTCTATGCTTCAGAAGTAGTAAAACTTTAGGCAGGCGTTTCTCAGAGAGAGAAAAGGATTTGAGCATGATGTAGGAAGAAGAGTAAGAAATGATGCTTTTGGCTCAAGGGAGATACATATTCCAGCAATGGTGAGATGGTCAGAAGGACAGCCTTTTCACTCTGCTGAGCAAAGCAGGTAGTCTGTAGGACAGAGGGGAACCTGAATTCAAAACCCTCTAGGAGCTGTCCGCATCATGGTTTCTGAGGCTGTGTGTGGAGGAGCATTGCTAAGGGAAGCCTTGGAGGAAGAAGTCCAGGGAGACTCTGAAAGATTATAGTTAGAGGTCGTGGTTCAGCACAGAATAAAGTGCCCAGGCCACCTCACCTAGGTTGGATGAAAGTTTCAAGATTTCTTGGTTCTCATTATTCTCACTAAGTAAGAAGCTGACTTTGTTTATTCTTGTCTGTGCAGCTTCTACTGTGCATCTTTTCAACTCACAAGACTACTGTAGGCTGTACTTGGCCCCCGTCTCCTCAGCAGTTATGGGGCGTGGTTATCAGTAGCGCAGTGTCAAGGGGTCCTTTCAGTAGTCTGCTGCATTTCAGAGTTTACTTCTTGAGCTGCCCCAATGTTAGCTAGGATGTAGGGAGATGAACGTAAGGTGCTCTGGCTTAGAATCTGGTTGTCCACAAGAGCCAGTATCTCTGTGCCAGCTCCAACAGCATAGTTTCCAGAGTCCCTGCAGAGGACACATGTCCAGTAACAAGAGTCATTACAACCAGCAAAACTCTGAGTATGACATCCACATCAGTTATTTATAGTTTACATAGTTCCAGGCCAGGTGCAGCCTAATCACAAGCAGTGTTGCTTTGAAACAGCTGACATTTTACTCCTATCTATCTCACTAGCAGTGAGACAGTCAACTGAAGCTCCAGTTTTCATATATAAAATGCAGAGGATATTTAGACTGCCCACTTCCCACCAATAAATCAAATTGAAGAAGGAGCATTGCCTCTGACTGCACTGGTGTACTATAGACCGGACCTTTGGTTTTGCACTGGGCTACATTCCCCAGCCCCTTTTTGATGTTTTATTTTAAGACAGGGTCTTACTAAATTGCCCACGGGGGACACTTTTTATAGCACCTAGCTCATATGTGAGAGTACACTGATACAGTACTCCAATGTGTTCAGGAGAGGGTCACTTACAGTCGTTTAATGGAGATGTCTCTGTATTTTCTGGTTTCTTAGGTGACTTTAGAGGAAGACTCCAGAATAAAATTTCTGAAGCTGTTAGGGTACAATAAAGATGAGCTTCAGAAGAAGGTAAGCTGCTTTTACTATCTGACATGTGGATGTGCTATAGAGAATGAGAGAATCTTCTTTTTTTTATTTTCAGTACTAGGGATTGAACTCACTACTTCACGCTTGCCAGGCAGGCACTTATGCCATTGAGCTAAATCTCTGGCTCGAGATATTCTCCTTGAAACCATCTCAGAATACCTCTTCCTGGGTCTTGTGCACATATAAACATTTTACCTCTGGGAGTTAGGCCTTTTCCTTGGAAAGTAGTTGGTGGCATGTGGAGATGGAAGAGAGCATAAGGCTTATTTGAGCTTTTTCTGGGAGAGCAGTACTCATAGGTCTCTCCCTGCAGGTGGCCAGACAGCTGAAGAGTGGCTTGGGGTCAGTGGAGAACCCTCAGCCCCAGGGAGACGCCCTCAACAACGATGGCTGCCAGGCCTTCTGTAGCCAGGTATGGTGAGAGCACAGGCAACCTGATGCAGGATAGTGCAGGCAGCCTGCCTTGCTCTCTTGGCTTACCTGTCAGTAAATACTCAGCTTCTGTAGAAGGCTTTACACCTCTCACTCTCTTGAAGCCAGAGTAGGACAGAGTCTAAACTTTTGGGCTGCTGTGACGCACCTATATGCTACACGAGGGAAATGACTGTTCAGGCAGTGGAAAGACTATGGGATTATAGAGAAGAGCTCAGAAGGAGGACACAGCTGTCCTGGGGTCCAAGAGGGACATGGGTCTGTGCTTCAGAGATAATAAAATTTGTCTAAAGTGGGACTGTGCCTACAGCATGAACTGGGGCCTTTCCCAAGTCTTTCTTGGTTACTCTTTTAGTTTTATCCACTAATAGCTGGATGGTAGAGCTGAGTTGGTGGTAGGGAAATGCTAAGCTATCTTTTTCTATTCTGGGTCATTTACTACGTAATCACATCCGTCATTCCTTATATAGGTCTCCAAACACATGGGAGAGGAAGACTCTTCATCCTCAGCCTTCTTTGATGAGCTTATTCCTCAGAACATGACTCTGTGGGAGATCCCTGTCACAGAAGGTTTGTAGGCCCTAAGTGAGAGAAATTATCTGCCTGGGAACAGTGGCCCCAGAGTTCTGGGACTTGAGACAGTCTCACTTCTTCTGCCTGTCTGCCTCTCCACCATTTCCAATAGTGTGGGATCTATACTAGTTAAAGCTCTCTTTTGCTTATGATTTTCCTCAGTGGGTCCTTTCTTGGAAGGCTTTTTACCAGGGTATTTTTTCCTATCCTGTGTCTCCATGTGACCCTACCTCTACTGAGCAAGCACATACTATATCCATGATATCACTACAAGTTTTCGCCCTTATCTTGAGTCCTGCCTTCAGAGAGTTACTGCTCAACCTGATTACCCCTGGGACATCCCTCTGTGTTTTATTGCTAAGGAATGAAACTTGAAGGTAAGGAGCCAGGAAGGCTGAGTTATATAAGATATAGAGGGGCTGCAGGGACAGGAAGCAAGAATCTGAGGTAAGCTAATGTAGAGAGGCTGCCTCTGCCCACAGACACAGATGGAATCCTGAGCCAGGCCCTGCTGCTGGGGGAACTGGGTCCTGCTGTGGAGCTATGTCTGAAGGAAGAGCGCTTTGCTGATGCTGTCATTCTGGCTCAGGCTGGGGGCACAGATCTGCTGAAGCGGACACAGGAGTGCTACTTTGCCAAGAGAAGAACCAAGCTCTCCTCGGTAACTGCCCATTTTGCAGAGGAGTGGGGAGAGGATTACTTGGACCTTGGTAGGCCCAGCCACCCTTGGGACTGATATTAATCTGCCGTCTCCCTCTTTTTACTCTTAACCACCCTCCCTCCCTGCTGGCCCTACTCAGTGGTCTAAGAAGGGGTCTACTTATGAGCAACTTTCTTAGCACATCCCTGTGACTCCTGCTACATTATTAAATAGATAGCTGAGGTTCACTTTCCCTCTTGGCTCATTACAGCTTCTCTCCTGTGTTGTACAGAAGAAGTGGAAGGAACTGGTGTATACATGCAGCCTAAAGAACTGGAGAGAGGCACTGGCCTTGCTCCTGACATACTCAGAGCCGGAGAAATTTGCTGAGCTTTGTGGTAGGTATGACCTAGACTCTGCAATGGAGTGATGTGACTCTAGCATGGAGTCATGGACACTCGAGGTGGAAGCAAAGGGCAGCCTGAGCTTTGGGAGGCCAGGCCTTGCTGTGAGGGCTAGGATCAGCTCACCTGGGAAAAGAGGATTACAATGTGTGCATCTGCTCTCAGAAGGGATTGTGTATTGCTGTGTTTACTTTTCTGCATCACATCTTGGTGAAGGAGCTTTGTCCTTCATTGTAGAGCAGGATTAGCCTCAGTGTGTTTTAAAGTCATTATGATTACTTATCCCATAGTTCATGGTCCTCCACCTGTTTCCAAACAAGGAAAGGAGGAGCAGCTTAAGAAAGCTGTGCCATTAATGAAGTCTGCATCTCTCTACAGGCATGCTGGGAACTCGCATGGAACAGGAGGGCGGCAGGGCACTAATTTCTGAAGCCAGACTCTGTTATGTGTGCTCAGGGAACGTGGAGCAGCTGGTAGAGAGCTGGGCAAGATGCCACCAGGCCTCATCCCCTTTGGCTTTGCAGGTACCTCTTCTGTAGGTAGGTCTGGCTCCTCCATAGCAGGCTCTTGGGAGAGATTAGTGGTACAGGTGTGCAGAGATATCAGAGGTGAGTCTTCTGCCAACGTGTCAGGCAGGAACAGAGGATCCTCAGCATTTGGAATCTTTTCCTAAGAGTAAAATACTGCCTCTTCCCTCAGCAAAGACTGAGCAGCAGGTGTTTGGCTACTAACTGTTGTCAATTTTTTCCATTTCAGGTTTAGTTATATAAGTTTATTCTATATTTGGATAGTTGTGTGCCTACCTTTTATATTAGTTTCTAAGAAAAGTTCTATGGATCTAAGCTGTAATTAGTGCTCTGGGGGTGACCAGAGAAGGTCAAGGTCACAGACTTATAAGGAAACAAAAGTCACACATGAAACAATATAAGAGAGTCTGTGGCTGCTACTGTACCAACAGAAAAGTTAGAGAAAGCAAAAAGAAGAGATAGAGATCTGTAAGAATCTACGATCCAGTGGGTCCATTCACACCCAGTATTAGCCACATAGGAGGTGAGGCTGCTCAGCTCTTCTGTGTCCTGCTCGTATATCATCACCTACTGCTTTTTCCAGGTGCCCTCTTCTCTGCCAGTAGTAGGTAGTAGTACTAGTGAACTTCCTGGTCTTAGGAGCAAGATGTGCTTTGAAGAGTCTGACTACCCTCATATTGTCATCTTTATAGGACCTGATGGAGAAGGTTATGGTCTTGAACAGGAGCTTGGTGCTACTGCAGGGTTCTGGCAGGGTGATCCCAGGCCCTATCACAACCAACAAGCTCACCCAGTATGCCAACTTCCTGGCTTCCCAGGGCAAGCTGGCCACCGCCATGAGCTTCCTACCCAGTGACTGTGACCAGGTGAGTGGGGCTGTTCGAGAGAGCAAACTGTTTCATTCAGTCATTAATGCTGACCATGAGGCCCATGTTTCAGTTACTGTGTTGATGCTGCGGCTCCTAGAATAAGGAAGGTGTTGTTCTTCAAACAGCTCACAATCTATTGAGGGCGATCAAGTATTAAGCACTGGGGGGGACTTTTGGGAAGATGATCAAGTGGTAAGTAACAGAGAAAGAGTCTCCCTGAGAGTTGCTGTCTAAACACTGGAATATAGCAATGTGAGGAAGACAAGAAGCAGGGAAGTGGCCCCTAGACACAGGAAGGATCTGAAGCAGGAATTGAAGCCCACGGGGAGAGTGAAGAGAGAAATTTCAGTGATGAATAAGGCAGGGGAGAGAGAGAGAGAGAGAGAGAGAGAGAGAGAGAGAGAGAGAGAGAGAGAGAAAGAAACTTAAAACAAGACTCAACCCCAAACATTCAGTTCACTGCAGGCAAATCTGGGAGCTAGTGAAGTCAGACATTCCAAAAGACACCTACCTAGCTCTCTGAAGTAGGAACAACAAAACAATTGAATGAGGCATTACAAAAAATGGAGTCAGTAATAATTTCTTGGATAACTGCAGAGATTTCCACAATGAAAACCATGTTTAGTGACTCTAGAGCAGATACAGATAAAAAAATTAGAGCTTAAGAAAATAATAGAAGCCATGAATGCCCAACATAGGAAAGAAATGGAATCCATAAGACAGAAGATTATGGCCGAATAAAAATTCCATTGAAAGTATCCATAGCAGAATGAGCCATTATGAGGCCAGAATCTCAAATATAGAAGTCAGGCTTGTGGTGACTGATCATGGATGCAAGGATTTCTTAAAAATAGCAAGGGAGCATAGAAATCAATCCAGCAGCTGCTAGATGATGCAAAGAAGAATAACATCAAATTGATTGGAGTAAATGAAAAAGAAGATAGCACAAATGATAACAAAATTGTTCACAAACATGTTGGCAGGAAACCTCCCTGGTAGGGAAAAAATTTGAAATACAGTTCAGTGAGGCCTATAGAAATCCAATTAGTCATGATAACAAAAGTCTACAGCCAGGCATATTGTAAAAATTCCAGAAATTCAATCCAAGAATAGAATATTAGAAGTTTTTAGGGAAAAGCCTATAAAGGAAAGCCCATCAGAATCACAACTGACTTTTCAGCACAAACCCTCAAGTCAAGGAGAGCTTGGAGTGAAGTATTTCAAGCTCTAAAAGGAAACAACCCCCAACCTGGATTAACATACCCCACAAACTACCTTTGGAAATTAATGGAGAATTAAGCTACTTCCATGAAGAACAACTGTGGAAATATATGACCACCAAACCAGCACTCCAAAAAAGTTTCAAAGGACATTCAAAAAGGGATAATAAGGACTACAGTTTCATGAACCCCTACAGAAGGAATCCACCAGGCAAGGCAAACAATTAAACAGATTGGGGAAAAAAGGAAGGAAAAAGAAAAAATGGGGAAAAAGGGAGTCAACAAAAGGAAAATAACATGACAAGGCTAAGTCAGTGCATATCAGTTATAACTATCAACATTAATGGTCTCAATTCACCAATTAAAAGACACAGACTGGCAGAATAGGTAAAGAAACCAGATCCAACAGTGTGTTCCATACAAGAAACACATTTAACTAAAAAAGTCTCGACTGTAAGTCAAAGAATGGAAAACAATACTCTTATATGATAAGAACCCGGAAAAAGCAGGAATACCTATTCTATTTGCAGACAAAATGAAGTTAAAGCCAAAACTGAGTAAGAGAGAAAAGAAGGTCACTAAATACTTGTAAAGGGAACAATCCAAGAGGAAGAGAGAATAGTCATAAATATCTGTATACCAAATGCCAGCATACCCAACTATATAAAGCAAATATTGCAGATGTGAAAAATCACAATTGTGATTAATACAATTATAAAAGGGGACTGCAATACCCCACTGTAATGAATAGACAGATCAACTAGACAAAAAATCCATAATAAAGTATTAAAACTGAACCAAACTTTTAAACAAATGAACTTAACAGATATCTACAGAGTATTCTACCCCACAACATCTTCTCAGCTGCACATGAGATAGAAAAATCTAAAAAATTTACCAACAAAGAAAAACCCAGACCCTGACAGATTCACTGCTGAATTCTACAACAAATTTAGAGAGCTAATACCACTACTTTTTAAACTCTTCAGCAAAATTGAAAGGGAGGCAACACTCCTAAATTCATTCTTGGAAGCAAAAGTTGCCCTGAAACCAAAATCAGAGAAAGACCTAGCTAAGAAGGAGAATTGCAGGCCAATTTTCTTAATGAACATAGATGCAAAAATGCTCAAGAAGATAATGATAAGCAGAATATAGCAAATTGTTAAGATACAACATGACCAAGTGGGATTCATCCCGGGATGCAAGGATGGTTCAACATTCATAATGAATGTAATACACCATAATAACAGAGCCAAGGGCAAAAATCATGATCATCTCAATAGATGTAGAAAAAGCTTTTGACAAAGTCCAGCACCCATTCACAGTAAAAACCATATGGAAAATTGGAATAGATGCTCTTTATCTCAATCTGATAAAGGCCATCTATGAGAAACCAACAGCCAGCATTATACTAAATGCACAAAAATTGTAAACTTTCTCTGTAAAATTGGGAACAAGACAAGGATGTCCATTGTATCCACTCTTTTTCAACATAGTCCTGGAAATTTTTAGCCAGAGCAGTTAGACAAGAGAAAGAAAAGGAATAAAGATAGGAACAGAAGAAGTTATCTACTTGCAGATGACATTGTATATATATAACCCCAAAAACTCCACTAAAAGACTGCTCAATTTGTTTTTTCTTTTTGAGACAGTTTTACTATGTAGTTCAGGCTGGCCTCGCACTCACTTTGTAGCCCAGGTTGGTCTCAAACTTGCAGCAGTCCTCCTGCCTCAGCTTCCGAATGCTTAGTCTGATAGATTTAATAAGTAAATTCAGCAGCATAGCTGGATACAAAATCAACACTCAAAAAACAATAATTTTTTTAAATGAATAACAAACTCAGAGAGAAATTAGGGAAATAACAATTTTCCATTAGTGTCCAAAAAAAGAAGTACCAAGGAATTAATCTAACAAAGAATATAAAAGACCCCTATATTGAAAATTATAATACTCTGAAATAGGAGATTAAAGAGAATATCAGGAAATGGAAAGACATCCCTTGCTCTTGGGTAGGAAGAACCAATATAGTGAAAATGGTTCTATTTCCAAAACTGTTCTACAGATTTAACATAATTCTGATCAAAATTCCAGCAGCACACCTCACAGAATTACAGAAAGTAATCCTTAAATTCATTTGCAACCAAAGGAAACCAGAATAGAAAGGCAATTCTGGGTAACAAGCATACTGCAGAGGACATCATAATCTCTGGTTTGAAATTATATTGTAAAGCTACTGTGATAAAAATAGTGTGGTACTGACCAAAAAACACCAGAGGATTAATGAAACAGATTGGAAGATGCAAGAACAACTCCAGAAAAACTAAGCTATTTTGTCTTTGACAAAGGTGCCAGACACATTCACTGGAAGAAAGATAGCCTCTTTAATAAATGGTGCTGGAAAAACTGGCTCTTCATAGGCTGAAGATTAAAATTGGACCGATACTTTTCAACATGCACTAAACTAAAGTTGAAATGGGTCAAAGATCTAAATGTTAAAACAGAAACATGAAATCTGCTGGAAGATAGAATTGAAAAAACTCTTGAAAACATTTGTGGAGGCAAAGACTTTCTGACTACAACTCCAATTGCACAGGGACTATCACAGTATCAAGTGGAATCTCATCTTTTTAAAAAGTTTTTGCATATCAGGAGAAACCACCATGAGAGTGAAGAGACAACCCACTATATGGGAAGAAGTGTTTGCCATCTGTTCCTCAGACAAGATTACTATCAAGAACACATAAAGAACTAAAAAAAGAATCAGACCTCCCAAATTTAGAGATCCAGTCTGAAAATGGGCATCTGAGATGAATACACACTCCTCACATGAAGAAATACAAACAGTAAACAAATGCATGAATAAATGCTAAATATCACTGGTTATTCAAGAGATACAAATTAAAACAACACTGAGACCCCAGAAAGAACAGCTATTATCAAGAAATCAACCCATAACAAATGCTGGTGGGGCTGAGTGGTGGAAAAAGGAAACCTTCTCCACTGCTGCTGGAGGTGTAGATTGGTACAGTCACTGTGGAAATCAGTGTCTCAAAATGTAGGGTTGGAGGCGCCATTTGACCCAGCTATTCCCTTTTTGGGTATCTTGCCAGAAGAATTTAAAACCATACCACAGTGATATATGGGCATGCATGTTTATAGCAGCACAATTTGTAATAGAAAAATCTTGGAAACAACCCAAATTCCCATGAACAAAGGAATGGATTTAAAAGATACAGCTTTTTTTTTTAATACAATAGAGTATTATTTAGCCATAATGAAGGATAAGCTGCAGACTTTTATAGGTAAATGGATGCAACTCAAGATCATACTCATAAATGAAATAAATCAGACTCATGCATAAGCCTTGGATTGTCTCCCTAGTGTGAGAAGCCGAAAGAGTAAATAAATGTGTATGAGTTTTGGAAATAATGTCATGTTAGCCTTCTAAAGATTTTCTTCCTTTTCAGAATTATTTTAATGATTACATGTCTTAAATTTTTAAAGAAAATTGTTATCTTCAAATGTTTCACCTTAAAATGTTTCTTGAAATTTTTAGTTATTCTGTAATGTTTTCTAGCTTTCTGTTATAGGTCTTGTAAATTTTGCAATGAGGTTTATCATTATTTTGTATTTTAATACTCTTGTAACTGATGTGTTTTGTTTTTATTACCATGAAGTAGAAGTATAGTTGCTTTTTCTTTTTGAGACAGTGTCTCATTATGCAGTTCAGCCTGGCCTAGAGCTCATTTTGTTGGCTGGTCTCCAGCTTGTAAGGATCCTCCTGCCTTAGCCTCCTGAGTGCTGGGATTACAGGCATGCACCACCATACCTGTAAACATTTATTGAAAGAATAACAACAACAAAATAAAACACTACAGGACTCTGGGGAAGGAGCTGATTTTGCCTGGAGAAGTCAAGGATGGTTTTCCTGTGGTTAAAACAGTTAAGCTGGATCTTTAAAAAGAAATGGCTACCTAGCCTATGTAAGACATTCCAGATAGAAAGCCAAGAGGGAGATATGAAAGGCAGAGACTTGGGAACTTTTGAGTCATTTGAAGTACAGAGGTCATTAGAAGTTTGACTGCTGGCCAGACTTTGTGGCACATGCCTGTGTCCTCAGCACTTCGGAGGCTGAGACAGGAGGATGGCTGTGAGTTCAAGGCCAGCCAAGACTACAAAGTGAGTACCAGACCTGAACTGCACAGCAAGACCCTGTCTCACCAATAAATAAATAAATAAATAAATAAATAAACAGAAAAAGAAACTTTGACCGCTGAAAGTCTTGAGATGTTTTCTTGTTTTAATTTAACATAGCACTTCTTTATTACAACTCTTACAGCCACCAGTTCAACAGCTGAGAGATCGCCTTTTTCATGCCCAAGGTTCTGCCATCACTGGCCAGCCATGCCCCCCGTTTCCTTTCCCCCGGGTTGTTGTGGGAGCTGCCTCTTGCTCTACAGACATGTCTCATTACACACCGAGGTCCCAGTCTTCTCACCAGGTAAGGTCTTGTTTGTTAATTCATTTGTTTATTCACTCAGAAACAGTTATGTGGCAAGCACTTGGGCTATTAATTTGTAGCAAACAAATAAAAGTATTAATATGAAAATGATGAAAAAGTGAAAATTCATGACTTTCTACAGCATCAATTCAGTTATTTTTTTTCTTTTTTAAAAATTTTATTTAAGAGAAAAAAAGCAAAACAGAAAAAGGGTAGAAATAATACAGAATCTCAAAAAAAGTAAGAAATCACTAGTTAATAGATTACATATTGTCATCTTAGAAATAGTTGTTCAAGTTAAAAAATTAAAACATACAAAGTGGACATTCAAACAGTGAGACTGCAAACAGTTCTGTTCAACAATCCAACCAAAACTTAGTAATATGGTTATTATTGATCCTACACACTTACACATACATGCAGGGCTGGGGATTTAGCTCAGTGGCATAAGTGCTTGGCTTGTAGGTGCATGGTCATGAGTTTGAGCCCTGGTACAAAAAAAAAAACCCCAAAAACATGCAGTTATATCCTTTAGAGCACTTTCTTTTCTTTTCTTTTATAAAAGCAATTATACATTTTGGGTTTTATTACTCCTACAGTTCTTATTACTTTTTACACTAAAGACACAATGTGATATTTATAAATATGATTCTTATTTATTTCACTTAGGAGGATAGTCTCAAGTTGCCTCCATTTACCTATGAAGTCCTTAAGATCATCCTTTTTTATAGCTAAGTAATATTCCATTGTATAAAAATACCGTATCTTTTTCAGCCACTTTGTGGTTGATGGGCATCTTGGTTGTTTCCAAGATTTAGCTACTACAAATTGTGCTGCTATGAACACAGGTGCACATATATCACTGTGATATGACCTTTTCAGTTTTTCTGGGAAAATACAGAGGAGGGCAATAGCTAGATTGAATGGAACTTCCAACCCTAGTCTTTCGAGAAACCTCCATATTGATTTCCATAGTGGCTGCACCAGTCTACACTCCCACAAACAGTGGAGCAGTGTTCCTCCCCCCCCCCAACAGCCTCGCCAACATTTGCTATCATTTGATTTCTTGATGGCAGCTATACTTTCCGGAGTGAGATGAAATCTCTGCTGTTTTAATTTGCATTGCTCGAATGACCAATGATGGTGAACATCTCTTCATGTATTTATTTTCCATTTATTTATCTTCATCTGAAAAATGTGCATTCATCTCAGATGCCCATTTTTGGAGAGGGTCTTTGAATTTGGGGGGCTTGATGTTTTTCAATTCTTTGTTCTCGAATATAAGTCCTTTGTCTGAGGGGCTGCTAGCTAAAATTCTTTCCCATTCTATGGGTTTTCTTTTCACTGTGTTGGCGATTTCTTTTGAAGTGCAAAAATTTTTCAGTAATGTGAGATCCCAGTTGTTGATTCTTTGAAGTGTTTCCCATGCAATTTGTGTTTTGTTCATGAATTCCCTGCCTACCCCTATGTCTCCAAGATTTCTACCTACGTTGTCTTTCAATAGATTTAGTGTTTCTATTTTAATGTTTAGGTCTTCGATCCATTTAGACTTTAGTTTTGTGCATGGTGATAGGCATGTATCTAGTTTTAGTCTTCGGCATGTGGAGAGCCAATTTTTCCAACACCATTTATTAAAGAGGCTATCCTTCCAGTGAACATGTTTAGCCCCTTTGTCAAATATCAGGTGGCTGAGTGTCTTTGTAGTTGTGCTTGCATCTTCTAATCTGTTCCATTGATCCTCAGGTCTATTTCTTTGCCAGTATCATGCTGATTTTATCACTATGGCTTTGTAGTATAGTTTCAAGTCAAATTGAGATGCCTCCTGCCTTGCTTTTGTTGCCCAGAGTTGCCTTTGCTATTCTAGGTTTTTTCTATTTCCAAATGAATTTTAGGAATGTTTTCTCTAGATCTGTGAGGTATGTTACTGGTATTTTGACTGGGATTGCATTAAATCTGTATAACAGTTTTGGGAATATGGCCATTTTCACAATGTTGGTTCTTCCTAGCCAAGAGCAAGGAATATCCTTCCATTTTCTAATATCCTCTTCAATCTCCTTTTTAGCATAGCATGATTTTCAATATATAGGTCTTTTACATTCTTAGTTAGGTTGATAATTTTTTCAGATGGTATTGTAAAGGGCAATATTTCCATAATTTCTCTCTTGGTGAGTTTTTGTTTGTGTACAGGAATGCTATTGATTTTTGAGCATTGACTCTGTATCCAGCTACACTGCTGAATTTGTTTATTACCTCTTGTAGTCTTTTAATGGAGTTTTTGGGTCTTCATGTTATCTGCAAATAGTGATAATTTAACTTCTTCCTTTCCTATCTTTATTCCTTTTATTTCCCTCTCTTGTCTGGTTGCCGTGGCTAGTATTTCCAGAACTATATTGAATAGGAGTGGTGATAGTGGACATCCTTGTCTTGTTCCTGAGTTTAAAGTGAAAGCTTTCAGTTTTTGTCCATTTAGTATAATGTTAGCTGTTGGCTTGTCATAGATGGCCTTTATAAGATTGAGGCAGACACTGTGTATTCCGAGTTTCTGAAAGGTTTTTTATCATGAACATGTGTTGGACTTTATTGAAAGCTTTTTCTGCATCTGTTGAAATGACCATGTGGTTTTTGTTTTTGGCTCTGTTGATGTGGTGTATTACATTTATTGATTTGCACATATTAAACCTCCCTGTATTCCTGGAATGAATTCCACTTGGTCGTGATGTATAATCTTCTTGATTATTTGCTGCATTCTATTTGCCAGAATTTTATTGAGAATCTTTGCATCAATGTTCATTAGTGAGATTGGCCCAAAGTTCTTCTTTTTGTTTGGGTCTTTCTCTGGCGTTGGTATGAGAGTAATACTTCCCTCCTCCAGGAATGATTTAGGGAAGATTGCTTCCTTTTAAATTTCATTGAAGAGTATAAGGAGTATTGGCATCAGATCTTCTCTAAATTTCTTGTAGAATTCAGCTGTGAATCCATCAGGACCTGGGCTTTTCTTTTTTGGTAAATTTTTAATTACATTTTCAATTTCAATAGCTGATATTGGGTTATTCAAAATTGCTATATCTTCTTGTATTGCTTGTATCTCTTGAGCTTATGTTTCTAGAAATCTATGCATATCTTCTGTGTTTTCCACTCTATGTGAGTAGAGATTTTCAAAGTAGGTATTCATGATCTTTTGAATTTCCATGGGATGTGTAGTAATTTCCTCTTTTTCAGTCCTTATTGCGTGAATTTGGATTTCTTTCTTTCTTTTTCTTGAAAAGGTTAGCTAGAGCTTTGTCAATTTTGTTTATTCTCTCAAAAAAAACAAATTTTTGATTCATTAATTCTTCGTATTTTTTTTTTTTAGTTTCAATTGCATTGATTTCTGTTCTTCACAATTTTCTCTCTCCTATGAGCTTTAGGTTTAACTTGCTCTTCTTTTTCTAGAAGCTTGAGATGAAGCATTAGGTTGTTTATTTGTGCTCATTCTGTTTTCTTGATATGACAATTTATTGCTATATATTCCCTTTTAAGACTGCTTTCATTGCATCCCACAGATTACAGTATGTTGTTTCCGCATTTTCATTGAATTGTAGGCATTGCTTTATTTCTTCTTTAATTTCATCTGTAGCCCACTGGGTAGTTCAGAAGGTTGTTATTTAATTTCTATGTATTTACGCAGGTTTTGCAATTTCTTTTGCCATTAATTTACAATTTTAGTGTGTTATGGTCAGATATTACGCATGGGATAATTTCATTACCTTTGCATTTACTTAAGAATGTTTTATGGGATAATATGTGGTCTGTTTTGGAGAATGTCCCATGTACAGCTGAGAAGAATGTATATGCTGATGTGATTGGATGGAACACTCTGTAAACATCTACTAAATCCAATTGCTCACAGGTATGATTCAGTTCTATTATTTCTTAGCTGACTTTTTGTCTAGTTGATCTATCTCTTTGTGACAATGGGGTGTTAAGGTCCCCTGTTATAATTGTGTTCTTGTGTATTTGACTTTTCATGTCCATTAGTATTTGTCTTATATAATTGGGTGCTCCCTGCCTTGCAAGCGTTCAGTCATGAGTTCAATTGCCGGTACCGATTAAAAAAAATAGTTGGGTGCTCCTGTATTTGGTGCATATATATGTATAATTGTTAGTTCTTCCTCTTGAATTTCTTCACTAATGAGTATGTAGTGACCTTCTTTATATCTTTTAATCATTTTAAGTTTGAAGTTCACATTGTCTGCAAACAAAATAGCTACCCCTGCTTTTTTCTGGGTTCCTGTTGCATGGAATACTGTTTTCCATCCTTTGACCTTTAATCTATGAGTTTACTTTTGGGTCAGATGTGTTTCTTGTATACAGCATATTGTGGGATCATGTTTCTTGATCCATTCTGTCAACCTATTTCTTTTGATAAGTGAATTGAGCCCATTTACATTTATGTATATAACTGATATGTATTGGCTCGACTTTGCCATGTTATATTCTATTTGTTTGCTTTCAGCTTTTTCCCCTTTGTTTAATTGCTTATCTTACCTGGGGCTTTCTTTCTGTTGTTGTTCTGGAGATTGTGATCATTTTTATCTCTATCTAGTATGTCTTTCAATACTCTGTCTAGGGTTGGTTTGGTGGACATGAATTTCTTCAGTTGTTCTTTGTCTTGGAAGTATCTTGTTTCTCCATTAAATTTGAATGAAAGTTTTTCTGGGCACATCAGTCTGGGTTGAAAGTTGTTTCCTTTCAGGGCTTGACATACCTCACTCCAAGCTTGTCTTGACTTGAGTGTTTGTGCTGGAAAAGTCTGCTGTGATTCTAATGAGCTTTCTTTGATAGGTGAGTTGTATCTTTTCTCTAACAGCTTTTAGTATTCTGTTTTTATGTTTTATGTCTGGGATCTTAATTATTATATGTCTGGGTGTAGATTTATGTTGGTTGTGATTGTTTGGCATTCTATATGCCTCACTTATCTGCATATAAGATTTTTCCCCCATGTTTGGGAAATTTGCTGC